CAACTGAAACTCACCCCCCTCAGGTGACTCTTAAGTTGTGACAAGTTCATAGTTAAAACTAATCAACACATGTTGGTAGAGGATTGAAGGATGACAAAGGAACAGAATAATGAGATTTTTTTGAGACAGGGGCTCATGTAGCCCAGGCTGAACTCGAATTCACTATAACCTGAGGATAACAAAAGCAGGTTGAGCAAGCCATGATGAGCAAGCCTCTAAGCAGCATCCCTCTATGGCCTCTGCAGCAGCACCTGCCTCCAGGTTCCTAACTTGTTTGAGTTCCTGCCCTGACTTATTTCTGTGACAGACTGTGATGTGGAAGCATAAGTCAAATAAACCGTTTCTTCCCAAAGTTACTTTTGGTCATGGTGTTTCTGTCACAGCAATGGTAACTCTAAGATGCAGTGCAACAACAAACAGCAAAGATAAACAGCAAAGCTACAATGTAACAATAACAAAGATAGTGTGACAACAAAGATAACAATGTGATAGCAAAATACAGTAAAAACCAAAAACAAGAGTGTAACAAGAACAAAGATACAGTGTACCAAACAACAAAGATACAGTATAATAGAAACATTGATATTGTATAACAACAAAGATACAATGTAACAACAACAAAGGCACAAAAAAGACTATAACAGAGGATATCTTGCTGCTAAAACCAAGCTGGGATCTCTCTCTTCCTCTCCCCTCTCTGCCTCCCCTTTCTCTTCTCTTTCCTTTTCCCTAAGACACACCCAGTACATTCAGTTTAGCATTCCAGCCAACCTGAATCATTGTTTCATATTTAAGTAATACCATGAATATGAGAAGCAGCTCTTCTTCTGAAACACACAGCTTTAAAAGAGGAGCTGTCTTATTTCATCCCCAAACCCTAGGGAGCCAGACAGGGATTGCAAGGAAACAGCGGCTCCCAAACTTGTTGGTTTCAATATTCTTTACATGCAGTCAGAAAGGACTGAAGGCTTGAATGGATTCCATTTGTCAGTATTTACTGTAATTATCCTGGACTACAGAAAGACTACTTAAAAGAGAGCAGAGTAGTTACGAATCCATTTTTTAAATAGGAATAAGAATCCTGTAGTCACACAACTATGAGATTTTGTGAAAATCACTAGCTTTTCCAAATTAAAAGAAAAAGTTTGAAACTTTTACAAAGTTACCTGTGTCTGAAGTAACAGATGCATCTGAATTCTCAGATCTGCCTCTGTGTGAATTCTCCCCCAATATCCCAAGTCATGTCACTTCTCAGAAAATTAGTGGAAAAACTGCTTCAGTAATACCATAAAAATAGCCTTGACTCCGTGGACCCCAGGAAAGGCCCAGTAACCCAGGGTTCCTGGAGCCCACTATTAGAGCCACTGGCAACCTAATCTTGGAGAGCATTCAGTGAAGGGATGAAAGAGGACACCCGGCCAGTAGATAACTTCCACCAAGGAGACAGCCAAGTACCACACCCCAGGAAGTGAAGGTCTGACCAAGGATGTGTGGGTGTTATTGGGCTAAAGACAATCAAATCAAAGAGGACCCTCCCCAAATAGGGTCCCACCCACCAGGATCCTTCCCATGGGGCCCTTTCTACTTATCCTCCCAAAAGTCTGTACTCTGTGGCCTCTCCATCTGAATGTCTCTCCTCCCCTAGCAGCCCTCACAGTCCCTTCATTCCCTTCAAAGCGCTTAATCACCCGGCAATTGGGAACTTATCTCTCCAACCCCTGTATGGAACACGACTCTTAGATGTACACATTGGGGGGGGGGCAGAGAGAGGCACCAGTGAAGGCTACAACAACCACAGAGGGAGCCTCTGAGACACACCCTCAGTAGGGTGTTCAGGGGGTGACCTTACAGTCCTATTCAGAGCTATGGCAGTGAAGGCAGACCCAGACCTCACAGAGACAAGAGGCTAAAGCGAGAATAGCCAGGGCTCAGCTCACACAAGAACTGTCTGTCACAGCCCAGAGTGTCTACCAAAACATTCTGTTTCCCAGAGGTAACATGTGCAAAGACTTGGGCTCCGGATGCTGGTGCCACAGTGAGATCACAGGCCAGAGTCACAACAGCTTTCACAGGCCTTGGTTTTGTCCTCTACAAATGGGTTACTTATATCTCATCTCCCCAGGAGGAGTAAGGGAAAGGACTCGATGAAAATGTCAATCACTGGGCTGAAAGCACAATCCACAGACTGTACAGTGACAACCTAAGACTGCAAGTGACAAAAAGGGACAGAATCGTCTTTAAAGCACTAAGTCTCTGCAGCAAGAGTGGCCTTGTGAGACTCCTTGGGTCTACAATGGGAGACTGGGCAGGCAATGCTAGAGTTGGTGCCAATAGGCCACACCACTGGGCAGGACCCTCCTGGGAACAGAAGCTGAATTTACTCCCAGGACCATGGTTGGGGGAGGCAGGGAAGCACAGGTGCGGATGATCCCCCAGGAATCTTCAGAGAATGGATGAGAGATGCTCTGGCTTCATTTCTGCTGCTGTGATAGATACCCTAACAAAAAGCAGCTTACAGGAAAAGGGGTTTTATTTCTGCTTATGATTCTGAGTTAGAAGCTATTCTTGCCTGGAAGCCAAGAGCTTGAAGCAACTGGTCACATCACAGCCACAGTGAAGAACAGAGGCCAATAAACGCATGCAGGTTGAGTATTTGACTTGCTTTCTCTGATCTTACCAAGGTCAAGGCCCCCTGCCCAGGGAATGGCACTCCCCACGGTGGGCGGGTCTTCCCTTATCAAGGTAACTCTCCACCCCCAACACAGGTCATATCCACAGACCAGCCTAATCTAAGCAATCCCTCATTGAAACAGCCTTCCCGGGTCATTCTAAGTTGTGTCAGTTGATAAGTAAAGCTGACCAGCAGAAGATAGGGCAATAGGTGGAAACTCAGGGGAAAGGTGGCCAAGATGCAGAGGCAATAGGTTGAGTCAAGGGGCAGCAAAGGGCAGGGAGGAGAGTGTGTAAGTTGGTCCTGAGCAGAAAGCAGGTCAGTTTTGGACCATCTTGGGGAGAGGAGCTTATGGGGCAGTGGGGACTCTGGGCTTTCCAATTCTGGAACCACAATTCTGGAACCACCAACAGGGCCAGAATAGCTGAAGCAGGTAAAAACCCAGCCCATCTTCCCAGCTTTCTTACCACAGTGACACCCCTATATATATGAACTAATCTAATGCAGGGTGACTTTTGATGACCTGGATCCTAGTAGCCTGAGAAAGGGAGGGATTTGCCCTCAGACACCTAACTGCTAGGATACAGATCTGGATTTGAATCCCTGTGTACAAGCCTGAGGCTCCACCGGTATTTAAGTACCAGCTCCATGGTTCATGCAGAAAGCACCTAGAGGCACCACCAGGCAGGGGTTCAGCCTCTCCCTCCACCTGATCTTGTGTAAACAAAACGAGGCGCCTGCCCTCTTACCTGCGAGCTTGGCTGGGGTCCCGCGGGGACAGGCCTGTATGGAGACCCCGGGCCCAGTGCGGGGAAGGAGGGAGAGAAAGTACGGGGGCCGGCGCCCAGCACCAGGACCGCGGCCAGGACGCCCCCAGCCAGCACCCACGTGGCCCGTCCCCGAGCGCCTGTGGGACCGGTCGCCCCCATCTGGTGGCCACCGACCCCACACAGACCTCCGCGGAATCCCGGAGCTTCCGGACCCCGGGCCCGCCCCGCCACGGAGCATGCTCAGTGCGAGCCGCCTGGAAAGTTTTCTGGAACTCTGGCATCTGGAGTTTGGAGCTGCGTGGGAGGGAGCTGCGCAGCGCCTTGGCGCCACACCACAAATCACCCGCCACTCTCCTTCCCTGAGGGTGATAAGGGTCCCCACCAATGCCCACTGACTCTCTAGATCTCAGCTCAGTCTTTGCATTAAGAATTCCCAGAGATGGCTGACTGAATTCCCAGTCTCGGAATTCTCAATCTCTTCCTACCACTGCAGCGGTGGGTAGAAACCTGAGAGGATTAGAAAGCCAAGGTCACTTAACAGACAGCTCCGGGAGCAGGGGAATAGAGGTAGTGGCAAAGAAGAAAAGGTGGCCCTTGCCTCCAGTGGGGTCCAGCTAAGTCCAGTCTCAGCGGAGCACCCACTTTCCGAATCGGGTCTTGGGGGATCTCCCTGAACCTCCCCAGCCTCCCCTTCAACACTAAAAACATCACTTGGTCAGTGAGTAAGCTGGGGCTGAGAAGCTTGGGCATGGGGCTTTCCTGTATTCTGAAAGGGAGGAGCTGGGAGAGTAGTCTGTCTTCTGTGAGCTGTCCTGCTGGGCAGCTGTCAGGGAGCCCTGCACCAGCTTCTCCACAATTCCAATGACACACACACACCCCTTTCTTGACCCGGCCTGGACAGTGACTTTACAGGACAAAACACGAGCTGAGTTCATTTTTAATGGATCTAATATTTTGAACCGATCTGCCTCTGCCTATTATATAGCTTGGGTGGCCGGTGGACCACAGGAGCCGGCCACTGGCCTTGTATGTTTTTAAAGCTCGGGCCTGAGCATCCACATAAACACAAAGTTGCAGCATGAGGCTATTGCCAGAAAGGTGTTTCCAAAGATGCCCTGAGGAAACAGGAACGTCTTTATAGCTGGTGAATGGCCTGAAGCTATAGGTGTGAGCGGATAAGACAGACACTACCAACTCCTGTGCTGTCAGACCTTGGATAAGTCACCTCCCCTGTCCATTTCCATCTTTGAAGAGGCCGAAGTATTGGCTCTCATCCTGCCCAAGTGGAACAGTGAATGACAAAATGAAGAGCTATCTGGGTTCTAGAGGGGCCCAAATGTGACATTGGCTCCAGCAACCTAGGAACTGCTGCTGGGCTTAATGGGGTTGCCAGGCCAGGACGTGGGGCAGCCTGGACGCTCAGTGACCGCCGAGAGGTTGTTGCTCTGAGGACTGGAAGGAGGGATGCTCCCTTCCTCCTACATTTGCGTCTTCTGGCTGGAAGGCACGCCTCGACTGCGCATGCTCAATGTGCTGTAGGGCTGGCCCGGAATGGCTCAAAGTTTGGGGCCGCGGGTCCAGGCTCCTCCCCCGGCTTGGGAGCAGCAAGCAAGGGCGCGGAGGCTTAGAGCTGGCGGGCAGCGGGATGCGGTGGGTCACCCGCCAGAGCCCTCATGGCCTGCACAAGCGATGCACGACTGCAGCTGGGCCGGGAGGCGCTGCAGGCGGCGCCCACGTTGCTGGTCCCCGCGGTGCTACTAGGCGCCGCACTCGGCCTGGGCCTTGGCCTGTGGCTAGGCTGCCGCCCCAGCCGCCTGCGTCCGCGCCTCCAGGTGGGTACCAGGGGGTGGATCGAGCGCCCTCCTCTTCTGGTAGGGTCCTTGGCTGCATTCTCTGAATCCCAGTTTTGCATCTTCTGAGTACAATTGTGAGCAGCCTACAGCTCCAAGAAAACCAGGGTCAGAGTTTGCTGAGGAAAAGGTATGGAATGAGTGGCCTAAAGGCACTGGCCTGACGTCCTCAGAAAGACTGTCGCCCCCAAGCCCTTCTGCGTCTCAGTGCCTTCGGGTGTAGTTAGAAGTTTGGGCATAATCCCAGCAGATGCTCCCAGCTCGATTTGGGGGAGAGGAAGGTGAGTGTTTGCACCCGGATGCCCACTCCCTCTACCTTGCAGTGGAGCTGCCGACCCTCCTCTGGGAGTAGACTGAGGACCTTCTGCCGCGGTCACACTGGGCCTTGAATGACACACGGGTGAGCAGGAGAGACAGACACATGTCCAGTCGGCATTTGGTCATAACCCAACACGATGGGTGCTGTGGTGGAGTAGAAGCAGGCTAGCATTTCTGGAGAGCTGACTGTTCCAGGCACTGAACTGGGCCCTCTGTCATTAGGTCTGAACTCTCCAAACAGCTTTGAATCAACTCAGTTTATGGCCCCATTTTTGAGAGGCAAAAAGCGCGTCTAGGGGTGGCATGGGGCGTTGTTAAGAAGCCTGGCGATGCAACAAGTGTATGGTCTAATACCCAGGAATGGTTAAGGAACACCTTGCCTGACAACTATTTCAATGATGTAGGATACTGGGGAGATTCCTGGCACGGAGGAATATAAGTTGTGATAAGATCCATTGGGCACTCTGGGTTCTGGCAGCTTTGACTTCTTCCAGATCTGCTCTGTTGTGCCAGGCATTTGGCTCTCTCCATCTAGAAACATGTTTGGTTGAGGATTATTTTTCTCAGTCCCTCACTTCTTTCAAGAACTCACACATACCTGGATTGATTTCTGGCTCTGCTTATCTTCTTTCTCTCCTTTATCAAGTGTCTTTTCCTATAACCTGTTGTGCTAGTCAGCTATGATTGTGAGCAGTCCTGAACTGTTAGATGGATATCGTGTGTGTGTGTGTGTGTGTGTGTGTGTGTGTGTGTGTGTGTGTGTGACAAACATCTGCATGTACACGCATATATAACACATATATGAAGCTGGAAGGCTTTGCTCAGTTTTATTCTTGTGATTCAGTATTTTATATTTTCATTTTCGGGAGTTCTTTTCTGTTCCCCGAGTCCTCTGTTCTCATCCTAAACTGCCTGGTGTGAGTAGAATGCCTCTCCACTTCCTGAAGACACTGTAATCTTCAGTTGTCTGTTTTGTGTTTCATCATCCACCCTCCCACTCCACCCACCACCACCCCAACACCCCCCAAGTCATTCCTTTTGTTGTGGGGATTAACCTTCTTATTAGAGTTTGTCCTCAGATCTCTTGTGACCCTTGGCCTCCTGACCACTTCTGTGTGGGAGTAGAACCCTGCTTCTGCCTCTGCAGGGTGGGTGGGTTTTCTCCGAAGGTCTTTAGTGAGTCTCATCTAACTGGGTAGACCCTCATCAAATAGTCAGCAATAATTGCCAAAAAAAATCTGAAATTTTGGGGCTATGTTGTGTGTCTTTTCTGCCCAGAGACCTACCCTGCCCCAGACACATGAATTTCTGGACATTTTGACATTGCCTTACCTGTGTCTGCATCGGGCCCTCTGCAGATGGTCTCACATCCTTCTCCCAAGACCTCAGAGGCTTGCTCCCTCGTTTAAGTTTCATATCAAACAAACTTTGACTAAGAGGCTTCCCTCAAGGGTCTGGTACAAGGCTGGGTACCCAGTGGATGCTGAATCATAGCCCTGACTAATTTAGTGCACAACCAGATTACCAGTGTATAAATACAATTATTGTGTGTGTGTGTGTGTGTGTGTGTGTGTGTGTGTGTGTGTGTGTGTGTGTAGGAGTAATAATCTTAAACATGTACGCATGCCACAGTATGACTGCAGAGATCAGAGGACAGTTTGTCCAAATCAGTTCTCGTCTTCCACCATGTGGGTTCAGAAGACTGTCCTTCAGTCATCAATCTTGGTGGCAACTGCCCTTACCCACTGAACTATCCTGCTAGTCCCCGTGTGGTTGTGTGTAAATGTTCCTGTGTGTGCAGGTACATGTATGTATCCAGGTGTCTGTGCACATGTGTGTGCTTATGTCAAGGCCAGAGGTCAAACTTGGTGTCATTCCTAAGGCACTATTCACCTTGATTTTTGGAGATAGAGTCTTGAACTTGGCAAGTAGGCTAAGCTGGCTGGCCACCTGTGTCCTACCTCCCTGCACTGGGATTGAGAGTATACTCCCCCATACCTGGCTTTTTACATGGTTCTGGCAATCCATCTGTGTCCTCACGCCTACTCTGAACAGGTGAGCACTAAACCTTCACCTGGAGGTACTTCCTGGAGTCCCTTGCGCCTTTTTGTTTCTGTCAGTCCACCTTCAAGAGTGACCTGTGTTTGTTTAAAGAAGCCTCACTGGCTACATATGACTAATTCTCTCTGTGGATTCACAGAATTCTAGCCAGGGCCAGGTCCTCTGTCACAAAGATCTCCTCTGTCAAGTACACCATGGTCCTACAGTACTTCAGAATTCTAGATAGGACCACACCCCCCCCAGGAACAGGAAGCAAACCTGGAGAAAGCTGAACACACAGCTACGACAGGGAAGTTTACTTGACAAGGAGAGTAGGAATGGTGAAGTGGCCTCTCCGTGCTCACATCCACCCAGATCAGCACGTGGGTGCCTTCTGCTGCTCACATGTCCATGAATAGTTATGAAACCCGGTGAATATCAGTGTTAACCTGTCAAGTGGTGGAGTTGCAAATCGCACATCTACAGACAGTAGTTCATAGTAGAAATTACTCCTCTGTTGAAGGTAACCAAGATCATTATTTAAAAAAATCACCCAGTGGCTTTACTGAGAACACCAGGGAAAATGCTACCTGCATATCTTCTGCAAAGGGATGACCCTCAGGGGCTGCAGTTTCTGTTCTGGTTTCATGTCTGTTGCTATGATGAGATAACCCCTACAGCAAGCAACATAGGGAGAAAGAAGATCATTTCAGCTTACAACTCCAGGTCAGTCCCTCACCATGCAGGAGTCAAGGCGGGAACCTGAAGCAGGTAGTCACATGACAGTCAAGAGCAGAGAGATGAATGCATGCACAGACACATGACAGTCAAGAGCAGAGAGATGAATGAATGCATGCACAGCTAGTCACATGACAGTCAAGAGCAGAGAGAGATGAATGAATGCATGCACAGCTAGTCACATGACAGTCAAGAGCATCCCAGGGGATTTCTTAGAAAGATGACCAGGGTGACCTGGGTGATTTAAAAAGATGCCTGATGGGTGAAGGAGGCAGGAAGGGCACATGGTAAGCAGAGATGACTGTTGGGTGGGGATTTGGTGGCTAAAGTTCAGGGGGATGGACAAAGCTAGTTGACTTCAGCATCTGGTTTCTCTCCACCCCTTTGGGGTTTCAGAAAGATGACACTCAACGTCTGCTCAGGAGTTCAGAGCCCAATGCACAGAGCCTGCCAGATACTGGCTCCCAGGTCAGGAGGCGCCAGAGAGAAACGACAACTTCCCGGGATGAGGATGCTCCTGAGGTTAGTCTGGATCTGTGTGCTTCCATGGACACATGCTGGGTGTGGGACTGTCTTCCAGGAAGTCAAGGGGTCAAGCTACAAGACACTGTCTGATTTATTTCCCCATGTATGACTAGTAAAAGGCATTGGATGAGTTTAATTTGACAAAGGTATGGTCCCCTCATAATTTGACAAAGGTATGATCCCCTCTTCATTAAAGTCCCAAAACCCCAGAAAGCTCTCTAAGTTCTTGTCTCTGACCACACTTATTCAAGAAACTACCTTGGTAGGGTTTTCATGACCATAGGATGACTGGAGCTTAGAGTGTCTCAGATCCCACAACACCCTGCTACCAACATTTGCCCATTTCTTTGCATAGCCACACCCGGCCCCCTTTCCTAGCCAGTGGGGGAATCAATATGAGCACACCACTAATAGTCACTCAGCATTTTCTGAGTGTTTGGCTGATGGACTGATTGTTATCAGGGTCCGACTGCTTTCAGTTGAGTCCCGGTTCTATTCTCTAACTCAACTCTATTACTCTAAGTAATAGGCCATCAAGGGAAAGCTGGGAGCCTGGCACCAATCCTAGAGGATGAATTCTCACCTGTCCAGGGTCTTCTCTATACAGCTTCAGTTGGCCCACAGAGCATGGCCAGGCTGAGCTCCCTCAGTAGGGACAAAGGGACATCACTTGACATTCCCGGGTACCCCAGGAAATATTGCATACTTTAAGTCGAGGCAGGGTCATTGGTCTGGTGGACTTGAGTCCTCCTAACTCTCTCTTCAGTTTCCCTTTTTGTTCTCATAGTCTGATGTGGAAACTGAGCCTCAAAGACAGGTCACTTTCTGGATCCTAAAACTGGTGAGCAGCCAACTTCAGATGTGTCCCTAGATCTGTCTGGCTCCGGCAGAGCAAGCACTACTGCCCTCCCCCATTCTACCCTTCCTTGTGCCTCAGGTTCCTCCCTGTTTGGGGTCCTCTACTGGCCATACAGAGTGCTTGGGATTTGATGCAAACCTCTCCAAAGGCTAGGAGAGAAGCAGCTTGTTGTCCCAAGTTGCCAGTGGCCTGTACCTCCCGAAGATTCCAGTGACCATACTTCTTTCCTGGGGGAGAGCCTAGCCTGCAGATCCTGGACCTCAGAGTTTCAGAGAGGCTGTGGAGGTGAAGAGAGAGCCTTGCTGGGATTCCAGGATCCTGAAGGACCTGTGGACCCAGGGGCTACACTCCCTCCACAAGGCTGTGTGTCTCTAAACATTTCTCTCATGTCTGTTTCTCTGTATCTCTGCATATGTTTGTGTCTCTGTGGAGAGCTTTTCATCCTTGTCTGCCTGGGTGACTCTCTGCATCCCTGGGACAATGTGTGTGAGAATCTGTGGGTGTGTGGCATCTCTGTCTTTCTCTTTTCCTTCATCTCCCTTGACTGCCTTTTCCCCTGCCCACATACCATTAAAATTCCACTCACAGACAGGGAAACTGCATCCACACAAATGCTTGTACACAGATATCCAGCTCTGTCCACAACAGCCAGATTAGAAACAACAAAAATGACAAACAACTAAGAAATGCATGGACAGAATGTTGTTTGTCAATCAGGCACAGTGGGCTACACCTATAATCTCATCACTAGTACTGAGGCAGGGGGATTGTAAATTGAAGCCTGACCTGGGTTACATATTGAAAACCAAAACTCAAACCAAACAAAAACAGAATTGTGATCTGTCCCTGCAATGTTTTTGGTTGTGAAAAGGAGCACGGTACTGATATACACTGTAAGCCTGGCCATTGTTACCCAAAGTGACAGAAGTTGGTCATGCACAGATCCCATGCATGGGAAATTTATGTGGACAGGAAGTAGCTGAGTGGTTACCGTGGAAGAGACAGGTGGGCAATCATAGAGCAGAGGGCTTCTCCGCTGCAAGGAGTCATTCTGAAATTGTCTGGGTGATACTTCCGACATTGGGGAAACACTGAAGACCATTGATTACATGCTACACAATTTATTTATTTCAGAGCAACATAACTGTTTAAAAATAAAGACAAACAAATGAAAACCCTCACTCACATGTAAGCTGGCTTTGGATCCCGTGGAAATAGCACTACCCTTGGGGCCCAGCGTGGACCATTCCCAGGTCTGTTGGACATTTGCTGTGTGGTTTTGGGCAGGAAACAGAGCCTGTCTGAGCCTCAGGTGCCTCACTGTGAGAGTCACAGAGATCCCTTACAGGGTCCTCGGGGTCCTGCCAGCATCCCTGTCTCAGAAGGTACTCCATCAGCACTGCAGGGGTGGGAGATTATCTCATTTCTCTTGGGCCTAGTGAGGTTTAGCCTGCTAGCGTCCTCAGTGCCTGGCAGCTGCCCATTACCAGGCTAATGATTGCCCAGAGCTGAGTTAAATATCTGCCTGGGCAGCCATGTTTCTGCCTGGTGAGTCCAGCTGCCTCTCCTGTGCACAGAGAACCTCAGCCTTGTGATACGTTCTGCTGCTACTTAGATGAACTCTGTTTAATGAATAGCTCCTGTTGATTAAAACACACAGAAACTTCCAGAAGGTTTCATAGGCCTGCCGCCCCACAGCAGGCTAATGAAGAGGAGGGATGTGGCCCATGGAGGCAACCGTGAAGGACCAAAAAGAACACCTTAGGGCTGAGGGGGAAGCAGCTTTCCTCTCCCCACAATGGCGTCTTCGCCAATTCTCTGAATGACTGCCTTGTTTTGGCTGAAGCTCTACCTTATAACTGTTGTGCAGCAGCCCATTTCCTGGACCTCTGCATCTCCTGAGGGAAACCATCAGGTTTGGAGCATCTAGATCCAGCGAGGAGAGCTGTGCAAAGCTGAGGTCTCTGGATCCTTTCTGGGTGGCAGAAGCTGCCTGTCCTTGCCTCCACATGCCTAGGGCTCTAGTATCCTCCGTCTCTCAGCCAAAGCAGGGCAGGCCTCCATCAAGTCCTGCAGGATACAGGTAGCCACACTGGCATCCTTGAGAGTAGAGCTTCACACAGCTGGGGCTATTCCAGCGGTCCCACCCAGGCTTTTTACTCATGCCTGCCTCCCCTACTCTGCTTGCTCCTGCACAGGCATACATGCCCCTTTCATTGTCTTTCACACTTCTGCAGTGTGCGTTTGCCCTCTACTGGGTGGAGAAACCATGCCTTCCTCTCATTTCGGCCCTTTCCTCTCCTTCCTTCCACTTCTGTTACACGAAGCTTTAAACTGCAGAGGATCACCAGACCTTGTGTGCTCTGTAATTCCAGCTGCTTGAAGGCTGAGGAGGATCATAAGTTCAAGGCCAGCCTGCACAACTTAGTAAAACCCTCAGAAGTGCAGATCATTCCAGGGAACAGAGTGAGCCATGTTTTAGTACCTCCCATAGCTTCAGAGGTGGCCTCTCAGGGAGGAGATGCCTACCAGGCTCTGAGTGACTGGTGAACACGAACACTACAGCTACCCAGTTCCTAGTGTCTTCTCAGTCCCAGGAAGTCAGCTGGAAGCTTCATGCCTGTTATCCTTGAATATTACATCTTCCATCTGTTGATTATATGGTCAGACTGAGGCTGACCTAACCGTTCCTTTATTGTTTAAGGTTCTATTCCAAAACTCTGTGTGAAGATTGCCTGTGTGTTTGTACCCCGCAGTGCCACACTTTTATATTTTAATTGTCACATACAATGATCTGCATCAGTGGAGTGCAGTGTGATAATATACATGTAACATGTGATGTGGGTACCGTCACATTGTCACCTCTGTGAGTTAGGAAAGTTCAGACTCATCTGGTTGCTCTGAAATATATGAATTGTCAGCAACAGTGACCCTGATGCACTGTGGAATGTGAGGTCTAATTCCTCAAAGCTCAGATATTTCATGTGGTTGTTTTTCCCATTGAAAGTGGGCCATAGTCCTTCAGGAGATGCTTATTAATCTGTCTCAAGGTATCAAAAGTCTAATTACCTCAAAGCTGAAGAATAGGAATTAAGTGATAGTGTCTGTCTGTCCAAGCATTTGTCTATTTGTCCATCTAGTCACCCACCATCCATACACACACACATGTATATATGCATGCATATATACAGCCACCCATCTATCAGTCTGTCCATCTGCCTATCCATCCAGACATCCATTTACCCACTCACCCATTCGTTCGTTCATTCATTCATTCATTCATCTCTCCATGAATCCACCCATCTATAAATCTGCACATTCATCCATTCATTAAATTATTTCATCTATTCATCCATCCATACTCCACATATCTATGCATAAGTGCATGTTCCGTCCACTTATCTACCTACCTATACATACTGTGCTAGCTAGTTTCATATCAGCTAGAGCCATTTGGGAAGCAGAACCCTCCACTGAGAACTCCTCCCACCCCCCCCAACCCCCGCGCGCCAGATTGGCCAGTGGGAAAGCCTATGGGGCATTTTCTTAGTTGGTAATTGGTGTTGGAGAGCAAACCCATTGTAGGTGGTGATAATCCTGGCAGGGTCCTGGGGTGTATAAGACAACAGAATGAGCAAGCCTTGCAAAGCAAGGCAGTATGTAGTGTTCCTTGATGACCTCTGCATCAGTTCTTTCCCTGACTTCTCTCAATGACAGGCTGTAATATTTAAGGTGAAATTGACTCTTTCCTCCCCAAGTTGCTTTGATCATGGCATTTATTGCAGCAAAAGAAAAGAAACTATGACACATATATGCATACATACATTCATGTCGGCCTTCATCAATACATTCATACTATGTACACACACACATTCATTCCTCCATCCTCCATCATCCCACCCATCTGTCCATTCACCTATTCTCTGCCTGCCCACCATTCTATTCATCCATCCATGCGCCCATCCATTCCTCAATTCTGTTTATCCTTGCATCCACCATTTACCAACCCACCCACCTACCCATCCATCCTTCCTGCAAGGATCCAAACCGACCTGCCATGGTTCTTTCCTGTGACCACTGCTGCAGGTGGAATGTGACATTTTGGAGACTCATGACTGTCTGTCCTTAACATGGCAGAAAACTCACTGTGCCACTCACTCTCTTTTCTTTGCAGGAGTATGAGGCATCCTTGAGCGGCAACATCACGGCATTTGCACTGAAAGCCAGGGTTGTCTATCCCATCAACCAGAAGTTCCGGGTGAGCACTCCAAGTGCCATCTTAGCTTTGACGTTTACTCCATAACATGCTGGGTTCCCTGGGAGGATAGGGACCAGATGTGGGTTTCTACCCTATCTGAAAGTTTGGTGTGTGATAGATCAAAACATGAAAGCTGACCTATTCTGTGTGGGCACACGGGTACCACAAAAAGGTCAGGAATTACAGCTGCTTGATCTTCAAGGATGACAGACAGCTACCAAACAGTGGGATGCTATCCTCTCTCTGGGTGCCTCAGACCCCAACTTCTGTCTCTATCCATATGGCTCAGAGCTAATGCCAGACACTATACTTCTCAGACACTTATATGGGGATAAGGGATTATCATACAGTTGGCATTTCCAATTTGTGTCATTACTGGAAGGTGAATGGACTGTTCAAGGTCACGTGCAGGAGGAGACCAACTCTACCCTCCACATGTGGCAACATGACTGTGAGCAGGGCCCATTGGCTGGAGTATCTATGCAGAAGGCAGTCAATCGGAGGGAAGAGCTGAGCCCGTGGGGTATCCTATGGACAGTGTCCTAGTCAAGAGTCTTTGGGAAAGGACCGGCATTCTGACACTCAGGAAGATACGCTCTGAGTCTCTAGGGTGCCATTCTGACTCCTGACTCAGCCTTTCACGTATGGCCCTTTCTTGCTGTGCTGTGAAATGGGGGAGGGGTGCTTCTGCCTCACCAGCTGTTTGGACTTCAGCAAGGCAGTGTGTGGCAGGGCTCAGAACCATGGTTTGCTCAGTCAGCGACTTCCTGCACCAGAGGGTGTTCCCCGACTCTCCCTGTGGAAGCCTTATGATGAGCAGCATCTGGTTGTGCTGCTGGAGTTGTTAGGGTCAGAGCCTGGGCCAGGGTAGGCCAACAACTGAGCTTACCCACCCTCAGGAAGCCAGATAAAGACACAACAGTAGTGAAAAACAGAGAAAGGAAATGTATTCAATGTGGTCACACTGGGAAGGGAGGTAAAGAGATCCAATCTCTCTCTCTCTCTCTCTCTCTCTCTCTCTCTCTCTCTCTCTCTCTCTCTCTCTCTCTCTCTGTCTCTCTCTCTCTCTCTCTCACACACACACACACACACACACACACACACACAGTGGGACTGGGAGAAACCTAAACCTCTGCTAGGCCAGTAACATCAGTTTCATTTATGGCTGACTGGCCTGTTCCCCAGCACATTGTGAAAAGCTTACTCAGCTCCTTGCCTTCTGTCAGGTGGATGGAAGGCACATGTGTATCAATATGGCTGTGGTCAGCTGAGCAGCCCAAGGTGTTGCTCTGTTGCTGGGTTGCTATAGGTTCCCTGGGAGGCAAGCCCTACAAAGGCAGATCCCAACAGGACAGCTCAATCTAGAAAGTCCCAGAAACAAGACATGAGGAGGTCTGGAGCAGGGGCCAGCTCAGTCTGTGTAGGCTTGGCAGCAGGTGACAGGGCTCAACAGAGAACTGAGCTCTTGCAGTTGTTCCAGGGACCAGACCTTGGCTAGTGTCACCTTGTGCTTAGTTAGGAGACATGAGCCTGTGAGTGGGCAGTGGGAGCCATCAAGGCTTATGACAAGAATGACCTTCATCATGGCAGGTGCTTAGCACACATAGTCAAAGGGGTGCCTGGAGTTGAGCCAGCCATAGAAGAGACAAGAGAGGGAAGGCTGCTCTCCAGTGGTCATCATGGTCTAGGCAGATGGGAGCATTGACTACCAAGGTGTTTAGGGATAGATTCTAATGGCTCTAGAGTAGGAGTCTGGTACAGAGGGCTGGCCTCATGGAAACAATTGTGAGAACAGATGAGCCATGATTCAGTCCCTCAGGTGTGGGTTTGACCATGGCCCTGGGGCAGAAGCTTGGTCTGGGAGCACTCACTCCAATGGTCATCTCAGTCAGGTCTCCTTCTGTTCCCAGCCCCTGGCTGATGGATCCTCCCACCCGTCGCTGCATGAAAACCTGACCCAGGCAGCAGCCATCCTGCCACACCTACCCCACCAGCCAGCAGAGGCGTCACCGGCCAGCAGCTTGGGCAGCCTGAGCCAGCCTGGCAAGGAGGACGGCAGCTCCTCCTCCAGCACGCACTCAGCCTACAGTGACGACAGGCTCCTCCAGTGTGCCTTCCTCCGGGTGGGCAGCTTCCCCGAGGTTCTGGCCTGTGAGAGGTGAGGAGCAATCTCGGGACACTGAAACTGCAGTGGGTGATGGGAAACAGGTCCAGAAAAGTCAAATGACTCAGCCATGGACACACAGAAGCAGCGTCAGAGCTGGGGACCAGCACCTTTACCATCGGCCACGTGGTATGGATCAATACTGAGTTTACAGAGTCAAGCCTGAGCCCTGGAGAGAGGTGACAGGGGAGAGGTGTTTAAATACTGATGCATTCCATAAATTATAGTGCAGCCAACACCCTGAGAGTTTGGGTAAAGCTTTCAGCACCTGCAAAAATTGTTCAAGGAACTCGAGGGCCTGATCCCTGTTGCTCATTACTATACCTCTGTTGCATGGCAAGGAACTGGACCAGGTTTGGGGATCCATAAACATCGGGCAATATTTCCCCTACTTTGTAAAAAGACACAGAAGGCTGAGTAGCTTGCCAAGTTCACACCACAGTGCGTGATGAGCCAGGTGTGAGTGATGAGCCGCTTTATCTCCGGGGTTCGGGTGCCATGTCACCAGCCTCACTGTGGTCCTCTGACAGGGGTTATGATTGGCAGCTATTGTCAGGTCTCTGTTCTAGGAATCTCTGGATGCATTAGTTACTTTTCTATTATTCAGTGATACATGATCAAGGCAACTTATAGAAGAAAGAGTTCATTGGGCCTTGTAGTTCCAGAGGATTAGAGTCCATGACCACCATGGTTGAGAGCATGCCAGGCAGGTTTGTCAACTGGAACAATAGATTTGCATCCTTATTTGCAGGTAGGAGGCAGAGAGAAAAGTAACTAGGAATGATGTGGGCTTCTGAAACTCTAAGTGTGCTCCTGGTGACATACCTCACCCAACAAGGCCATATCTTCTAATGCTTCACAAACAATCCCACCAATTGGGGTCCAAGTATTCTCATTCAAACCACCACAACAGAGGACAGCCCCAACCTAAGAATGAGGGACTTGGAGCCTGTTGCCAGGGAAGATGTCCCTGGGCTGAGGGAGACTAGCATGGACCACATTCTCGCATTTGCACTTACAGAATTGTGGGGATGGGTGTTTTCATCCAAATGCGTTTGTCTGTGAGAAAGGAAAGGGTCCCCAAGGCTAACTATGTCTGTGCTTAATAGCTATGGCCCTCTGCTCTCAGAGTCCCTTCCTTGCCTGTCTGTGGCTTTCTCTCTGGGTGAATTTGTCTCCAGTATATCTGGAATAAATCTGTGTCCTTACAGTCGCTGTTCCCTCAGCTCAGGCTTCCTGCAGCAGTGTGGACTTCTCTAATGCTGAGTGTGGGGGGATCATGAGCTAGGGGATAGAGACACCACAAAGGCCTAGTGAGACCAGTGTCCTTTCCTCATGCTGGCTTCTTACCCTTTGACCCCTGTCTGCTTCTCTCTGGTGGCTCAGTGCGGATATTGACCTGTGTGTTGGCAGCCTTCACCTGAAAGACCTGCTTCGGGTAGACACAGCACTGAGACAGGAGAAGCACCTGGTAGGTGGAGCCATTTGATTTCTCCTCCTGACCTGGGGACCAGATGGGCATATGGGACTCCCTGTGTGCACAGAGCCCTGGATGTATGAAGGGTGCAGACATGGGTGAAAACAGATAGGGAAACGGGAGTGGTGAGGTGAGGTCTGGGCGCTGGGTGTGGTGAAGCATCCATTGCTGCTGATAGGACATGGCCTTCCACTTATATGGGGCAGGAGCCGTCTGGAGATGAGCTCATGCTCAGGCCACATCTGCTGAGACACAGGGTAGGGAGAGCACTGTGCGAGGGAAAGACACTAAGTCAGGAGCTACCCTTAACAACAGCAGCATACATCAGGCTGTGGGGAGATCAGACACTGCACGAAACAATGAGGGAGTAGAAAACTGTATGACTGATTCTTAGAAAACCAAGTTTGTGATGCCCAGAGGACCAGTGGCTCTTCCCTGGTTATCTATCCCAGAGAGACCATGTTGGCACCAGCCCCTGTGTGACTGTTCACCACAGTGGGGTACATGATGATATCTGGCTAATAGACTCCTGGAGTGGAGTGGCTAGACACCATGGAGATGGCACCCTCTAGGATTCCCTGGGGATCCCCCATTCTGGAAGGGACCTTCTTGGTTTATTGAGCATCTCCTTCTGTGGAGACAGGGGTCTTGGAAGGCTCTGCACATCCCAATTCTTTTGAGGTATCTCTAACTCTCTTACAAGGAAGCAAGTCTCCATGTAGAAATTGGGGCCGTAAAGGGCTCTGCACAATGTAGGCACCGAGGAAATAGTGTGAGGACAGGAGGGTCAGTGTGGAGAGAAGAAAGAGAGGAAGGTAGAAAGGAGGGGAGAAGCAAGGAGGAAAGAAAGGAAGGTGAGAAATATTCTTTAGAAGCTTCATAGAACCTGGTCCAGCACAGACCATTGCCGTGATACATAATCTTTTCATATATGGATCCCTTCGTTCAGAAATAACTATATCAGAGGAAGTGGGCACTTCTCAGATGTTTCTCTCATCACTTCCCTTCTGCCAACAGATGTTCATCCAGATTCTTAGAGCATGCCTCCTGGACCTTTTTCCTAAAAAGAAGCCCGATGATGAATTATACCAGAAGATCCTTTCAAAACAAGAGCATGTAAGTCTTTAGCCTGTATCTCATGTTAATCCAGTAAATTGTTTATAATAAAGCATATCATGTCATGCAAAAAATATTTTCCTTTAATGCATAAAATGGTTTTTATAATACACATTTGAGTGCAGTGTGATCTCATGTGAAAATGTGTGTGCATATTTTGGGTCCTGGAACCCTGACTAAGGCTAGCAAGGGGATGAAGAAAGGACAGACACATACAGGAAAGCTGGGATCAGATGGGAATATGCTCACTCAGATGGAGGACACCTATTACCTCCAGCAACCCGGAACCTCAGCATATTTATTAGGTACAGCGGAGGAGGGGAGGCTGGTAGTCTCAGTAGGGGGTATCTGTAAGTGAGTAGTCCCAGCATTACAGCTAGCTCGTGAAGAAGCTGGCCCCACAGCTCCTTGGTTACCGGGGAGCACAGCTCCAGAGAAGCAAGAACCATTCTTCCCCTCCACACTGGGGTTTGAAGGAGCCACTCAGAGTACCCCGTGATCCTTCCTTTCTAAGCATGGAGTGAGATACACATCTAGAAATGCTGTCAGCCTGGAGGACGTTGCTTCCTAATACCAAATCCAAGAACTGGCACAGTTGCCCCCCTAATCACAAGAAGATCTGGACCACATGAGATGCCCCCCACAGATGCGGGATCTGTGCTACAGGTTCACTGAGCTGAGACCACACTGGACCAGTAGCTTCCTGTGAAGATGGTGCCCCAGAGAGAAAGAGGTGTGGCAAGCTAGGCTGCACTTCCTACTCTTGAACCCACTAAAGACTTACCACTTCCTCCTTGAGGTGTAGCGAATAATCTATCCCCATGGAAGCCTTATGAGTGAAGAAGGAATATTCCCGCCCAGCCTCTAGAACACACAGCATTTCTATGAGTTTGTAATGGCTGAAAGACATGATTCAGTTGTTTGCTAAGTACTAACTATAGTTTCATGAGGACAGGGCATGTAGAAGAAAATCACCCTTCATTCTCGATGCCCAATGTTTAATGGAGTAAAAGAGTTTTTACTCTTATGCCTTTATGTGTATGGATGCACGGTGTGGGTGAAGAAACTCAGATTTCTAGCTTACACAGCATGGCTTTCCCTCACAGAACCGTGTCTCCGGCCCAGCATTAAACCCTAAGGTTGTGCCCAGAACTTCTCATTATTGTTAAGATGTATTTTTAAAGATATTTGTCAAAAATGTAAGAACATTTATTCTAGAATTTTTATGAGTTTTTTTCATTGTTTACTTGTTCTCACCCTAAGGTTGTGCCCAGAACTTCTCATTATTGTTAAGATGTATTTTTAAAAGATATTTGTCAAAAATATAAAAACATTTACTCTAGAATTTTTATGAGGTTTTTCATTGTTTACTTGTTCTCCTACCTCACCCCAGGATTTGGAGGAGTTAGAAAAGGGACTTCAGGCCAGATTGGCGAACACAGAAATGTTGGGCATCGGTGACTCTGGCTACGTCTCCCTGGCAGATGTGGAGAGGAAGGAGAGAGAGCTCTCGGAACAACTCATCGACAATGTAGGTGATGCCCTCTCTTCCCATGGGGATCTTGGTTTCTGCAACAGTGACATTGCGAGATTAAAGAGGTGACACTGTCATGCTCATCCCAAGGCAGAGACCCAGTTTCTGATGTTCAGTAGCAGAGGAATGATAGTTAGAGAGTGGAGATTTACAGAAGAAGTTTTTATCCATTTACATTTTCAGCTGACTGTATCACTGAAAGCAATGATGCCTGTAAATCCTCAGTGTCACTACCGCTCCACAGTAGAGCGGACTCTATGAGCATCTCCAACCCTCAGTGTCAGGAAACATGCTTCTCATGCCACAGGAGTGGGATTCCTTGGAATATTCTTTTCTCTTTTTGACTCATTGGCCTCCTGGCCATGGATCTGTAGGAAGCAGATGTGTTCTTGGCACCTCCTGTGCTAGGCTGGGTGGATTGAGATTTGCTTGAGCGTGGCCTTGCCCAAGAGACTTGGGGACAGCCACAGTGAGCAAGGAGGACCACCTGGCACCCATGCTGCTATGGAAAGGTGCTAGGGGAGGTTGAGAATGATTGAGGGGCATGTCTGAAAAGGCTCCTTAGAGGGCCATAGAGAGGTCAACGAGAAGGGATGCTGACCCATATGTGAGCAGACACAAGCCAGGGAAAGCTGGGAGGCTGGAAGGCAACTTAGAGAAGGGTTTATTTGTACTTCCAGTTTCAGAGGGTCAGAGTCCTTGATGGCTAAGTGAGGGCATGGCTGCAGGAGCAAGAAGCTGAGGGTTCATATCCTGAACCACAAGGTGGAGCAGATAGAGAACTAAAAATGGCACAGGTGTTTAAACTCTCAAAGCCCTCCTCCAGTACAAGGCCACACCTCCTAAACCTCCTCAAACAGTGCCAACTGGGAACCCAACATTTAAATTCCCGAGGCTATAGGGGACATTCATTCAAGGGGCACAGTTACTTTTCTCATCTCTGTGTGTGTGTAAGGTGTTTACAGTCCAGAGGGATATGGTCCGTAGTGGGGAAGGTGTGGTTGCACGAGTGTGAGGCAGCTGGTTACACTGTATCAACGGTTAATGTTGGAGCTCCCCTCTCTTTCTCCTTTTTATTCACGCTGGTACGTCAGCCCACAAGATGGTGACACCACATTCAGGATCAGTGTGGACCTAAAGGGATATGAACCAAACATAGCCAACGACAGTCACATTCTGTGACATCTGGGTTTTGACTCGTCCCTTTGCTCTGCCTCAGGGCATGATCTACTCAGAAGTAAGCAAGAAAGGCACACAGATGACACACAGCCTGCATGCCAGGAAGGACAGCCACCAGACTTCCTGACAGCCTTGATGCTGCAGTTTAGATAGGCCACGTTATCATACTTTGAAGCCCCCAACATCCCAAGCCATGAACTGACTATTCCTGGCTCTAGTCCTGATAAGACATGGCGTGGGAAGCTGCATTTCAAAAGCAGAATGATTTCACGGTCAGCATCTTCTCTGCCATTTGGCTTTTTTTGTACTTCTGGAACGATGACTAATAGTAGCCTCCTGAGTTTTTATTTTTAGGCCATATTTAATCCTTTGGAGAGATCCTGAAACTCACAGGATCACATTGTCTCGCTTCTCATGCTCCCAAGGAGTAATTGTGACTATCTGGAATCCTTAAGCAGTGCTCCTAACTTCTTATTGGCAGCAGTGCCCTGTGTTTGCTGAAAACACCTCTGTAATTAGCGCACAGTAGCTGGGGCGGAGTAGAGGGTCTACCATAGGACACAATCACTGCCAAGATAAACTCACTTCAATTGCAGAAGGGTTGAGAATGTCTGATGGGAGTAAGGGATGAGCTGCAACTCCAGACACTGACCAGAGCTCTTTCTTGAATGAGATTTCACCATCGCCTGCTTCTCATGCTCATTTCACAGATGGGAGCTTTCTGGAAGCAGATGGAAAGCATCCAACCCATTCTCGTGGACCAGTTTAAATGTTCCAGCTCCAAGGCACGGCAACTCATGATGACTCTGACAGGACGAATGATTGCCGCTGAAGGGATGCTGCGTGATTCTCAGGACCTGCAGGCCCTGGTAACACAGGGCATGTTGTAGAGGGGCACTAGCACCCCAGAAAAGGGCAGCGAATCCGCCTGCCATCCATCCATCCATCCTGCATCTGTCACTCACATTTCCATCTTCCCTCCATCCATCCATCATCTATCCCTGTCTGCCCCATCTGTCCACTATCAATCATCCATCTATCACACCACCATCCATCATCTACCCTTTAAAAACATTTCTATTCCATTCTATGTTGTGCTGTTTTGCCTGGGTGTATGTATATATACAAGGTACGTACCTGGTACCCAAGGAGGTCAGAAGAGAATGCCAGATAGAGTTGTGGATGGTTGTGAACCACCAAGTGGGTACTGGGAACCAAAGCCAGGTCCTTTGCAAGAGCAACAAGGCAACAAGTACTCTTAACCACTGAGCCATCTCTCTAGCCCCTTGTTAATTGTATGAATATGCTCATGCTTGTGTGTGTGTGTGTGTGTGTGTGTGTGTACATGTAAGTGTAGGTGGCTACAGAGGCCATAGGTGTCATGTCCCCCTCAAGCCAGAGTTGCAGGCCATTGTGAGCCCCCTGATGTGGCTTCTGGGAATCACACTCAGGTCTTCTGGAAGATCTGTACATGTTCTTCATTGCTGAGCCATCTCTTCAGCCATCTGCCTATTTTTACACTCATCCATCCACTACCCACCATTGCATGGTGGAGGTGCTGATCAGATCAGGGTTCTCAATGATGGCTGAACATAGATACTGTTTGGACTGATGCTTGGGCTCTGGCAGGTTCCCATCTGGTGGTCAGGCTTAGGCTGACACCCAGGAGCAGAGAGGTGTGGGAGACCCAGTTCCAGAATCAGGGCTTGGCTAGAGGACAAGGGTTGAAGGGTTTGGAGTTGGACAGGACTGGGCTCTGAAGTAGCCCCCTAGAGAAGCAGGCATCCTAGTGCTAAGTGTCCAGTGGTTTATTCCAAACTCTGAAGGCATGGAGAGGCTTCCATCCCTGCCTAAGATGCATATGGGGAGAGAGGAAGTTCACTGTGTTTGGAGTGGAGTGTGGAATTGGAGCCCATTACCTCCTCCACAAAGGCAGAGTCCTGATGACCAGCCAGTGTCACATGTCTCCATACAGGACGCCCTTGAGAGAACAATGGGTCGAGCCCACATGGCAAGAATGGTAGAGTTCCTGAGGACCCAGATCCAGGAGGAGACAAAGTGTCGGCTAGCTGCCATCTCCCATGGCCTGGAACTGCTGACTATCCAGGGACAACTGTCTGGGAGACAGAAGGAGGAACTTCTGACCCAGCAGCACAAGGCCTTCTGGGAGGAGGCAGAATGCTTTGGCAAGGGTAAGCTAGTGAACCAGAGTTGGAGACCTGGGATAGTATGGCCCTGACAATAAGTCAGGACTGTCTTCCCTTCTGGTCCTGGGGATGGGCTGCCGCTGCCCAGCCTCCCTCCCTGTAGAACAGAGTGATCAGAGTCTGTGTGAGATCAGGGCCATTGTCTATTCTCAGTGACTCAGGCTGACCAGACCCTGGTTTCAAGGCAGGACCACCTGGAATTCAAAGGAGCAGAGGAAGGGAGAGGGCGTCAACCAGGATGGACATAGAAATGCCCAGGGGTGATCCGTGCTGACCACATGCAGCCCCAGCCATGACCAGCCGAAGGGCTTTCTAGTGAGGGTGAATCAGGTCAGCGTGGGTGGAGCGAAGCTACACAGGCTCCCCATGCCTGCTCCTGCCCACAGGGCCAGCTAGAGGTAGACTAGGTGAGTTCAAGATCCTTGGGGTCACCATCAGTGAGACCTGTACAAGAAGACAGGTCTGTGACCTGCGGAGAAGGGCCGGCCTGGTAGGTCTCAGGAGCAGTTCAGCGTGGTCCTGCTAGAGAGTCACCTCCTGTTCTGTGTTCTTCCCAATCCCAGAATTCATGCAGCGGGGCAAAGACCTGGTTCAGGCATCGCTGGCTCGTCTGGCAGAGGTGACGTCAGAGCTCACACACCTCCAGGAAGAAGAGCGGAAAAGTTTCCTGACTGATTCCCAGCTGACCTCAGACCCGGGGGAGTTCCTCAAGGTGACTCTTCCCTAGTCTATCTCCAGTCCTTTGCCCTTGCAAGTTGAGCCTGTTCCATTAGACCAGACTTCAACTCAGGCCTCCCCGTGCCAGGCTGGTGACCGTGGCCCATTCCCTCAGTCTCTGTTCCTGCCTCCTCTTTCGTGTGCCAGTGCTGCGTGTGCGTCCCGGGCTGGGGTGCTGAGAGAATGCAGGGAATCTGTAGCAAACATACCTGAATAGTGGCTCACGGGGCACACAGTGTGTAAGACCCACGCCTTTCTCAGAACTGCCCTCAGCCATGGGAGCTGAGCAGGCCTCAGCTCTGGCCAGGCAAGTGGTCAGGTCCAGGGAGGCGGTTCTCCTAGAAAGCAACCAGGGTCTCAGTAGGAAGAGGACAGGGGGCTGTGGGAGGACAGGAAGTGATGTGCCAACTTTCTGGGGAGGAAAGGAGCAGGAGGGAACCAGTGGGGCAGTCTGGGCCCACAGTGCAGCACAGGACCACGGGAAATGCAGTGGGGAGCAGCACTAGTGAGGCAATTGAGAGCAAGGACCCGCCCACACGGCATAGGCAGACTCTCTGCTCCACGTGAGCTCTAGTTAGCGCCATGCCCAGGGCTCAGGAATATGCCCTAACAGGGTGGGACTTACTCTGTGTGAGAAGATTGACTACGGTTAGAGGAAGACAGGACTCAGCTCTATGTCACCCTCAGATAACTCTCTGCTCACCCTGAGCCCCCAACCATGGGAAGATGGCAGGCATCTGTGTCCGAAGATCCAGTTTAGACCGAGCAACATGGCTGGTGTCCAGGGGACAGAGAAGGCAGGGGAAGGGTGAATGAAAGCATGGGTCAAAGAAGGAAGGAACAAACACTTGGATGGATGGATGGGCGGATGAGTGGACAACAGCTCCAGCCACCTTCAGCACCCCCATTTCTAGCTCCTGCCCTTCGGTCTCATCCCACTCCCGCTCCTCACCATCCTGTAGGCAGACAGAGGGCTCTACAGCGTCCAGTGTGGCAGCTGCTGTGCAAGCATTGGCTCCCTTGGCTCCCATGTTCCCCCTAGAAACCTTCATTTTCACGGACTACCTAGACATTTCTCCTGATAGGATGGCCCCTGTACCTCCCCCTTACCATAAAAAGTCACTCTCTGTCCTTGTGTCCTGCTCTACCCCCTGGCTATGAAGAAACCTCTGATAACCTGCTCCATGTTCAGCTTGTTCTGTTGGCTCCCTGGAGACAGGGTCCAACTTCTGGATGGCAGGACCTTGCTGATTCTTGATGAACAGGCCTCTAAACACCTGTACTTAGGACCCATTGGGTATGGTAGGTCACCATCAGAGGAAGTGTCTGGAATTGTCTGGTGACAGGGCATAGGAAAGATAAAAGGGTGGCCTGGTGGACACTCCTCATGTCACTATAACAAAAGCCCAGACAGGTTTCCTGGGAGTTGGATCTGAAGTCCTGGCCTCAGACACAGTTTGCAAGCCACTGGAGCCATGAGACATCTTGGTGCCTGAGTTTTATCACAATTATATTGGGGTGGACATTCCTCCCATTAGAGATGTCAGTCAGTCCTCTGTGGGGAATTTTGCAGAAAAACCAAAGAGTGTGGTTTCCTACTGAATTCAGTTCCTGTTTTAACTGCAGGCTTTTCATGAGGTCCTGGAGAGGCAGCGGCTGACACAGAGTGACCAGGAAGAGGAAGAGGACATCAGGATCACTGAGGCCATGGCTGCACTCTGTCAAGTATGTGATTGTGTTACTGTGCTGTTGCTATGACGAAACACCTGAGAAACTGAGTTAAGAAAGAGTTGATCCTGGCTCTCAGTCCATTATGGTAGGAGAGGCACAGCATCGGAAGCATACGGCAGCTGACCACATTGCATCTGCAGTCAAGACGCAGAGAAACACGCGTGCTGATACTCAGCTTGTCTCCTTTTACTCAACCTGGGATCTCTGTTCATGGAATGGGACTGCTCACCTTTGGGGTGATTCCCCTCCTTGGTTAAGCATATCTAGAAATGTCCTCACAGACTCACTCGTAGGTGTGTCTCCCAGGTAACTCCGAGCCTGTCGAGTTGACAGTGAAAATTACAGTGGCGCAGCCAGACAGCAGAGCAGACCCCTACTCTGCATGTGTGGGAGAACCTCTTCGTCCTCCTACCCTCTGGGCTGGGACCTAGAAGCAGGGTCAGGTGGAATTTTACTTGCTGCCTGAATGATCCACAGGCAGCATCTCTGTCATGGGTTCTTTAAATCCATGTTGGAAACTGGGAGATTTGAATTTGTGCACCAAGTTAGAGCTGCCCTTTTCTCCTCACAGCTGGCTTTGAGGAAACGGGAAAAAGTGCATGAAGACACCCAGGTGCAGGGTCCCTGGGGCATGCTCATGAGGACAGAACCCAGGCTGAGGGACGGGAAAGGGGTAAAGAAAGATACTGGGAAGGAGGGATGTAACACACACCTCAGGGCTAGGCAGCCTTGTTGGAGAGGTGGCTCAAGTACCCGACTCAGGTGCCCAGCTCAGCGTCAGGCTATGACTTAACTACCTGGTCCCTCTAGCCCTGTTTCTCCACCTACGTAATGGAACATCAGTCTTCCTTCGCAGTGGTACTATGACAACTCATTGCCTGGGAGACCTTGGGACAGCAGCTGGAACTGGGGACATCCCAATCCATATTGACTCCATCGCTCAACCCTTAGTCATTAGCACAGGGAGGAGAGTGAGTGGCCCTTTGAGGTTCAGGGTGAAGGTGAACTCAGAGACAGCAGCTGTCAGTCTGAAGGAAGTGTCCCTGAGTGGACCAGGACTTGGCATTCCAGATTTAAGAGTTAGAAAGAATGCCAAGGCAGGAAGCACAGCCGTGCTGACCTGCACTGTCCAGGATTGAATCAATGTCATCAGTTCTGCAGCCTCAGTCTGTAAACTTCTTTTATTAGTTTTGGGAAATTTGGTTATTTCTCCCCTTCTACCCCAACTCTTGTGTCAGTTCTTTGGGGACAGCAGTGACCCCTGTTGAACCTCCTGGTCTCTCTGGTGCCTTCATCTTCTCCACGGTGCCCATCCTGTAGCCTCCTTGCTTTGTCCCGGGTTTCTTCTGATTTACTTTTTCAGTGCACTGATTCTCTCTTTGCTGCTTCTAGATGATGGTGCATTAAAATGGTACATTGAGTTCTTAGAACTTTTGAATTATAAAACATCCAGTTGGTTCCTTTTAAACTAAGCAACACTATTTATCATTGCAGCTCTTTGCTTATCTTGTGTAAGCGTGGCTTATAACACCATGAGCAGAGCAGCCTCCACTGCTTAAGGTCCATTTCTTATAACCACTCTGGAATGCATGCGGTTTGCTTGTGATAACTGCTATGTATGTGTGTTTTGTTCCTGTTGTCTGCCTTGCTTAGACCCATGTGCTCTGTTTCAAGTTTGGAGGCTTAGACCCCAGCAGGGTGGGATGTGGAACCTGACCCATGACCCCTGTGTGGTTCTCATTTCAGGAACTGTACTGTGGCACCATGGAAACCTTCCAAAAGTTTCTGGACACTCTGTTCCTGAAGACGCTTCCAGAAGTGAGCAGTCTCGCTGTGGCAGAATGTGAGGTCCTGCGGCAACAGGTCCAGGAGCAGGCAGCGAGACAGCTGGGGCAGGTGGACCGATTTCGCAGACGGCAATGGGAACTCCTTTGTGACCTCTTGGAACAGGACAGGCGGGTGTGTCACCTGGGTCCTGATCTGCTGTGCATTTGAGACTTAGGATGAGGGATTTCAGATGCTGGGCGTCCCCAAGGGCCTCTTAGAGACAGTACAGAGATGTGCTTCATACGTCTGGGGGTGCACTCAGTGCCAGAGTGCATACTAAGTGTGCTCAAGGCCCTGGGGTGATACCCAGTGCCCCAAGAAGCAAAGTCACGGCTGCCAAGCTTCCCCAACAGTCACAGGGAGGACCCAGATGTGAACACAGCTGCAAGTTCTCCCAGGAAGTCATGAGGTGAAAGGCAGTGAAGCAGAGGACGGAGGAGACAGCACAAGCTGTGGCTGCAGAAACAGGAAGGACTGAGAGAGCAGGAGGGTCGGAGTTGAGGAAGGATGGTAGACAGTGTGAGCAGAGGTTGGAATGGTGGGCTGGCGAGCCTGAGCACGCAGCAGCCTTTGGAAGCCAGAACAAGCAAAGAATCGCAGGCCGGGGGATGGAAGTCTGAGCTGCAGGGCCTCTGTTAAGACCTGTGCTCCATCTGGTGGCACTCTAAGTACAGGCTCTGAAGTATCCAGGCTGGTGGAGACTGAGAAAGGACTCTTAATGATGGAGGTCTTGTTACAACGTGATCTTGCTGGGTGAGATGAAAGCCTTCCTTCTGGTCGTACGAAATTACCTAGAAGGACCATGGGCACAAGCAAAGATGTTAAGAGGATCAGGAAAGAAAGGGACTTGTAAAACAAACAAACAAACAAAAAACAAAAAACAAAAAACAAAAACAAAAAAAGGGAGGGCCCGCTGCAGCTGCTTCATGCATTGCTGTCCCTCTGAGCACAGGTGTGGCTGGAGGCGTGTGCGCTGTCCACGGTGCTGCAGAGGCAGCTGCAGGATCACCAGGAGAGCACCATCCATGAGGTCCTGAGCCGCTTCACTGGCCTCTCTGAAGAGTGAGTATGAGCCCTGAAGGATGGGTTCTGTCTGTATGAGACTCTGGGCTAACCTCAGTGTGCTAACCTGCAATGTGGGTGCATTGGCTGCTCCCTGCCCTCCCTTGATAATAAAGAAGTACCATTTCAGTTTCCTTCTCTAGAAAGTGGTGCTAATAAAACCTGTGTCACGGCATTCTGTTTTGGTAGGGACTTTTTCGAATAGCTCTTGTGAGGTGAATATTATATATATGTCAGGTGGGTGGTGGAATGGCTGACTCCCATTCTTCCTATAGGTGGGACCCCTCAGTGTGTGTCTCACTGGCCCAGAGCATCCTAGAGCTCTGACCAGCCTTGCTCTCTCCCACAGGTCCACACGAGGCATCTTGCAGGGCCACCAGCTGCTGCTGTGCTCTGCTCTGCGAAGACTGGCCCTCCGAGGTACCACCATCACTGCCCTGGCTCAGATGAGACTGTCCGGGAAGAAGAGGCTCCTGCAGGAGCTGCGTGAGCAGCTGGCTCTGGAGCAGGGAGCGTCCCCATGCCTGGAGGAACATCAGTGGCAGCTGCTTAGAGCCCTGGTGAGGACACAGTACGGTCCCCACAAAACACAGCCCAGAAGTGCTCCATTAGACACAAGTTCTAGCCCTGCTTGTCACATTAGGATCCTGACACCCCGGGAGTTTTCAGAGCAGTGTGACAACAGGTGCAGGTTGGGACTTAACTCACGGGGACTCATTGCCTCCCAGGATGGGGGCCTGAGGGGTGAGGACAAGGTGGGGCAGGCAGGCTTCTCCCCAGTCTTTGTTCCTTGGCTTACAGGCACTCTTACCCTTGCATGCTCACAATGCTCATCTTTCTGTGTGTGTTGTATTGAGATTCTCACCTCCTTTGAGGAGGACTTCAGGTACCCTGGAGGGGGACCCAAGCTCACAAGCCCTCTACATTAAACACCCATGTCCCATGTCCATGCTGTTCAACACTGAAGTCTTACGATTAGAATCTCAATTGAGGAGACATGGTCCAACTCATAAAGGCGGTGACTCTGAGGTGCACACATATATAAGGGATTCTAGTGAAGGTGACATGGAGAGAATTCCACCAGGAGTCCAAGTGAAGTCTCAGGGAGGATGGGGCAGGCAGCACATGAACACTGGGAAGAGGCCCTTCTTGCTCTGTGAAGATCTGAACAGGTTGAAGTAATTGACAATCAGCAGAGCTGAATCCCTACCAGCTGCCCTACGTCTCCTCCATGGATCTCATAACCCTAAGCCACAGAAGCTGCAATGACTTCCATCCTGCTGACGACACAGGGGCTCAGTTTCTAGCTCCTCCTTAAAGGCAGCAAGCAGCTTTCTTCTCTAGCTCCAGTTTCAAGTTTCCCTATCTCTCCACACTAAGCAGAGGCAGCCCCAGGTTCCTGATTCCCTCACACTCCCTCCCCCCCAATCTCTCTGTCCCTGGCCTCATATGCCCTGCCACGGCTTCTATAATGTCCCCACAAGTTGGGTCTGATCTCATCCTGGTTTTGTCTTTCAGAAAGTTACTAAGTTTCTCTGACCTTGTCAGTCTTAGTATTCAGGCTTCACAGTGCTCAAGAATGAACAAGGACCTCATTTTGTGAGGGTCTGTGGAGCACACTGAGCACACAGCTGGTGCTCCATACATGTCTTTGGATGAGGGAGGGAACTATGAGCAGACACCTAGGCTCATCCTCAGGAGTAGTGTTTCAAGTCTAGAAACTGCCTGCCCCCTCATTCCTTTCCCCAGCCTTCAGGCCAGCACAAGGCCCGGCCCTTCTGGCTAATGGGTAGCATGTCTGTCCTTATAGGAGGCACGGATCCTGGAGGAGGCGGCCAGACTGGAAGATGAGGCTCAGCAGACGGGCCTGCGACTCCAGCAGCAGCTGCTTGCAGAGGCACGGGAGGCAGGGCAGCTGCTGCAGTTGCACTCAGAGCGGTCCATTGGACAGGCATTGCTGGTTCACGCAAGGAATGTGGCCAGCAAGGGCCGGACCAGGGACAAGGAAGACTTCAAGGTGAGAGCCAGGCCCTGTCCCTTGACACCAAGGGGCAGGAAGAATGGTATTTTCCCTGCCTCTCTTTGAGCTTCCAGCCTACAGCATGTGCCTAGCTTGCCAGCCAGGAATCACCCAGCCCACACACAGAGACCCTGAGCTGTGTCCCATTAACTCTCATTCTGTATCAGACCAAGGCACACCTACCTGGCTGGCTTCTCTCTCCACTGCCCACTGTACAGCAAAATCAGATCCCAGATGAGAGGTGTGGCTTTCCCTGAGGCTTTGTGGACAGACCCTGGTGGCTTCGTGATCCACAGAGCTCAACTTGGATACGTTGGCAGTAGCTTGCTATTTTTCTGTTGCCATGGCTAAAGGACTGTGGTCAAAATAGTGACAGCGGTCATGTGACTGTGGTACATCTAGGTGCTTCCTCAGATTTCACACAGCCCAGGCGGGATCCTCCTTCCCGTCATTCAGATGGGGAAACAGGCTTCTCATTGTACAAAAGACACACTGAAAGCTTAGTAGGGAGTGAGCAGCAGAAATGAACCTGGAACCCAGGTCTCGGCTCATCTCCAGTGCTCACCCTATATCTCCTTGATTACCCACTGGACCCATGAGTCGGGAGAGGTCTGACTGAGGCAGAGGACCATGGTGTCTGTGGCCTAGCAAACACTGATATATGTACAGCTTGGCAGAACAACGGAAATGATGGAGTCTTTCACCCATTAAGACTTTGTGCTAATAATGTTCCAGAAGGAAATAACCCACCCCCAGCAGGCTTCACTAATGTCACATCTTATTGGCCAGAACTGGATCAAAGTCATCATCCTTGTCAAGGGAAAGTAAGATTATCATGGCTGGCTTAAACTGGTCATGCTCTCCCTGCCTGAGTCCTGGCCACTCCGGGTTTGGGCGAGCGTGGGAAATACGATGCAGGGCAGGTGCTTCACCTGTGACCTCTCAGATGTCCCTGTCTCTCCTGCTTACCACAGAGGACGCTAGTGGAGACAGTGGTGGAGAGCGTGTATGTGACCAGCACCAGTGTCAGCCGCCTCATGCAGGCGTATTACCAGCGTGTCGGGAAGCTTCTGCAGGCCCACGAGGAGCAAGTGCTGCAGCACCTGAAGACCCTGCAGGGTAGGTGTCTCCCCAGCTAGAGGCCAGTGATGGCTTTGCAAGAGTAGAGTCTGTGTGGCCCGCCCGCCTGGAGGAATCGAGTTTGTTTGCACGCATGGGTGCGTGTGCCAGTGCATGCATGTGCGTGTGACTCAAAAGCCTTTGTAAAGAGTGCTGAAAGATTGTGTGTCTACAATACAACAAGTCTCTGTGGTTTCTGATCTGAGATGAATGCTTGTAGGGCCTCCTGAGAAACGGAAGTCGTTCCATCTTTGAGCTTCCTGGTAGCCAAAGAGATACAGTAAACATGATTGAGAGATGCCCACCTGAGAATATTCAACCCAGGGCTCCTAAAGCTAATCACCTCCCCCCACACCTGTGAAGCAGTAGATACCAGCTGCCCTTCCCACAATGACACTAAGTAACACCTGGAGCTCCCACGGGCTTTTCCTAACTTCCTGCACAAGCTTACACACTTTTCCCCGTGGATGGCCTGGGATGGAGCCCCAGGCGGAGGGGCAGGAGGAAGACCCTGGAGTACCCTCAGTGCTGTCACTGCTCTCCGCTGGGCTCAGCTGCGACCTGCCCCACCCTCCCCACATTCAGGAGGGTTCAGCTGGGATCTGGCATGACTCAGGAATCTACAGTTCCCCATCACAGTTTGTCAAAGAGATTTGAGCTTGCTTAACAGGAGACACCTGCATATTCCCGCAGGGCACTTAGTTCCAGGGCCTGTCATCGCCCACACTAGGCCTCCACTTGCCATCTGTGGGGCTAGGGCTGGACTCGCCTCCCAGTGTCCTCTGAGCTCTGGCAGCCCATTCTTCTGCTCTCGGCTCTGCTGTGGGAATTTGACACTGGCTTCCCTTACGGACTGTGGCGAGCCCCCCCCCCCCTCTGGGAAGGACTGCTTCCATAAGGAGCAGGGAGCAGGAAGCCTGGTCACGGCTCTGCTGATGAACCGTGCGTGGTGGCTGCTCAGGCCCAGCCAGGTCAGCAGCTGCTGGGCCCCTCACCACCAGCAAAGGGCAGAACCATGTATCCCCTGAAGCTGCTCCCTTAGTGCTATGTTATTTAACAGAGGGACACCTCCAGTAGGTTGCCTGTCATCTGTCAAACATGAATCCCTAGGTAAAGAGGTGGCACTATAGTAATTATGCAACAGACAGCACTCTCAGCCAGGGAAACCCAGGGCAACACATCATTTTACCTTAAATAAGTTTTTCTAGATAGATAACTCTGCAAATAAGACAATTGCCGGCAATGGGTGTGAGATCAAGGCCAGATGCCTACTCCTAAAAGTGCTTACACTGGCGTCCCAAGGCCCACACAGCCCGAGCTCAACTCACCCAGCCTATCTCCCTGCTGTGTGACTCTGACTCTGAAAGGTTTCTGTGGCAGCCTCTTACTGTGGAAACTTGCTTGTCACTTCCTTACTCCTGACAGAGAGCTAGAGGGGAGCCATGTGTGGTTTTGCACTGGCCTTCCCAGTACTGGTGCCTGTGGCATGCTGGGAGAGCAGGTGTATCATGCTCACCCCTTGCGCTGGCCCCCAGCTTCACCCCAGGCCTAGAAGAGTTCACCTTCCAAACACGCACCTTGATTGCTTTATGTCTGTGGGTTCAGGTGAGAGAATCAACGCTTACAAGCTGTGGAAGAAGCAAGAATTCAGTGACCCACTATCAGGGATCCAGACGGCACCACCGGGAAGCCAGGCAGTGCAGCCGGGAAGCCAGGCAGCAGATTCCCTTGGAGCTACCCAGGCGGTGCAGCAGAGGTGGGACTCAGGGTCATCTATGGGGTCCCTGCACGGACGTACCCCACTCTACGTGGTAGGCTTGAGATCCACCACCTGTTGATGTGGGTGTCTTCTGCCTCACAGACAGCTCTGAATCTTTTCCTTCATATCTTGGGCTCCCTAGAAGCCAGCCTTGAGGTGAGAATTTGTGTGAAATTGATGGTGTGTGTGTGTGTGTGTGTGTGTGTGTAAGTGCAGGTGTGTATATATGTGTAAGTGGAGGTGTGTGTGCCAGTCCAGGGATAACCTCAACTATTGTTCCTCAGGCACAATCTGCCTTGATTTTTACCAGTGTCTCACTGGCCTGGCACATGCCAAGCGAGCTAGGCTGGCTGGCCAGTGAGCCCTAGACATGCTTCTGTCTCCTTCTCAGCACTGAGATTTCAAGCAAGCCCATCATACTCAGGATTTTATTTTTATTTACTTATTTGTCGTTGTTTCTTTTTAAACAGGTTTCTCCGCATAGCCCTGGCTGTCTTGAAACTCCCTCTGTAGAGCAGGCTGACCTCGAACTCACAGAGGTCTCCCTGCCTCCACCTCCCAAGTGCTGGGATGAAAGGTGTGCTCCACCACCTCCAGGCCAACTTTTATTTTTCTTTTGATGTGGATTTTAAGCCTCAAACTCTCATGCTAGCACCACGACTGAGCCATCTCCCCAGCCCTAGTTACGTGTTGTTAACCTGGGGATGAAGGCGAGGGTGCAGGAGAGGGGACAAAGGCGTGTTTCATGGCAGTGCCCATCTCCACTTCCACAGGCTCGGCAAACCTCATTCACCTGCTGTCTTGCAGACCAGTGGGTCAGAGTCGGGTTAGCTTATCTGGCTGCTCTCAGTGTTGTCGTGGCCTCTCAGATGGACTCTTCTTGGGGTGTGTGGCTCCCAAGTTTCCTGATGACAAAGGCCCACTAGCTTCAAGTGGCCACGGAGCCGCTGATGTGACCCTGGCAGCACCTGCTCTTTGCCTGGCTTCAAGCTGTGCCTGGGACACTACCTGTCTGTCCTGAAGTGAGTCTTGGGAGTAGGCTGTAAAACACATGCTGCTGTGTTGGGAAATGGTACCTCCAACTGCAGGGAGGCCAGGGCTTGAGAGCAGCAGAAGCCAGCAGTCACATCAGGTAGGGATCACCCACACATAACAGAGTCGATCCCAGCCTTAGTAGGTATCTGAATCAACAAGGACCATAGCCCCACTTAGAGTCCTCTGTCTGGGCACTGGCAGCCATCAGCAGGTAACCACGCTAAGCTTCAAGTTCCAGGCTTGCCCAGCCTTCCTGAAGTCATTAGGCCATGGCCCAGCAGTTCTTAGATTTCAATACAGAGGTATATTTGGCTTTGCTATTGAATGTACAGGTTCCATACCTGCACCCCCACCCACGGTGCCTTGAAACTCAGACATGGTCACAGAACTGTAGGGAAAGCTCAGGGATTTCAGCACCTGGGCTTCAACTACTAGAGATATGATTGTGATTGAAATGTAGTCCAGGGCCTTGCTCTGAACCAGAAAAGACAGGTCTCAGTAGCCAGCGGGTCAAACTCCACATGGTTTATGAGAGAGGAGAGCAAGCCTGACAGAGAGGATGCTCATGGTCTCTCCTTGAGTCCACCGTAGACTCAGCCTCCTTGAAAGTCAGAGAAGTAACATCTGCGAAGCTAGGCCCTGCTATGTGTCACTACCCATCCCGAAGAAGAGCTCCACAAAGCTAGACCATTACAGAGGAAGCGACAAACCAGGGTTTTCCTTCTTGTTACTCCATGGATGAGAAGAATCGGGGTGACAAAGGCAAGACTTATCCCCAGGATAGAAACAAGGAGCTTTGGGGGCCAGCAAAGAGGTGGAGGGTGGCATATTTAGGGTCTGTGCCCAAAGAAACCGGAGTCAGCATCCTAGCTGGGACTCTGTGGCTGTGATAAAACACCATGACCAAAGCAGCCTGAGGAGGAGAGGGTTTGTTTAGCTTCTGTGTCCCCATCACCGTCCATCATGAAGAGAAGTCAGGATAGGAGCTCAAGGCAGGAACTGATGAAGAGGCCATGGAGGAGTGTTGTTCACTGACTTGTTCTTCATGGCTTTCTCAGCTTGCTTTTTTACGCAACTCAGGACCACTTGCCCAGGGGTGGAACCACCTGGATGGAGCTGGACCCTCCCACACCCATCATTAATCAAGAAAATGCCTGCACCAGCTTGCCTACAGACCAATCTGATGGGGGCATTTTCTAGGTTGAAGTTCCCACTTCCCAGACTGACTATCGAGTTAGTGACAAGTTGACAATAAACTAAGCAGCTCAGTGAGCATACAGCAGGGGTACTCACACACCCACACTTACTACAACACTATCCACAGTACACATGGCAATGAATCATCCCAGAAGCCCACCAGTGGGTAAATGGGTGGAGCAAATGGGATGAATAGAGATAAATATACATGATAAAGTATCACGGAGCCATTAAAAAACATGGTGTGTCTTTTATAGGAGATCACTATGTTAAATGAGATAAACCAGACTTAAAATGGCAAGCACATATTTCTCTTCTAGAGGGAATCTAGACTTTTAAGAAAATGTGAAATTTGAAGGGGGCTGTTTGGGGAAAGGAAAGGGATCTGTATGGCGGGGGGGTAGTAAGAGGTGGCAGTGAACAAGCAAAATAAGCAAAGTACCTGATACACACAGGTCCCGATGTTAGATCACAGTAACTGTCTGGCCAGAAGTAAGAAAAAATGAATAGATGGATAATGGATGAGTAGATAGATCATGAGTGGATGGAGCATGGATGGATGAATAGATGAATCATGGATAAATGGATGAAGGGTCATGCATGGGTTGATGGACCATGGCTGGTTAGATGGATCGTGGATGGGTGTATATGGATGGATTGATGGATAGAATGGAGATGGATGGATAAATGGGTCACTGATAGATGGATAAATGGGCCATAGGTGGATTGATGGATCATGGCTGGTTATATTGATCATTGATAGGTGGAGATGGATACATGGAAGGATGGATGAATGATTTGGTCTTATAGGATGAATAGAAATTTACAGGCCAAATGCAAGGAAGCAAGGAAAGGTATCCCAGCAGCCCAGAGAGCATGAAGCAGAGGCAAGGTGGCTTTCTTATGCCTTGTATATCCCAGAACAGCTGCCTATTAATGCTAAAGGTAACTTCTGCCTTCAGATCTAGTCAGCCTTTCTGAAAACTGTCCCTAAAGATGGAAAGGAGGAAAATAGCAGTCATGGAGTACAGGCCAGGAATAGATGTCACTGTTTGCAGAGGACCAGGTCATGGTCTGCTGAAGAGGGAGAGAGGGAAGGGGTCTGCGCCCAAGAGAGAAGGCGGTGCTCTCGCTATGAGGGACCTGGCCTCTGTCCTACCCCTATGCCTACTTCTCAGAATGAATAGGCTGCACATTAAGGCTTATTAAGGTTCGTAGACACTGCCCCCAGGAAATGAGTCTTTGGTGGTCCTGGAAGGCCTCTGGTCCTTTCTTAGGAACCCTTCTCCTTAGGTAAGAGTGTCTGCTCATGAGAAGATGCCAGCATGCAGCTCTAAGTTCCCACCTAGAGATGTCCTGACTTTGCTTCTGTCCTGCTGATGTCCCCAGGCTTTCCTAGGATTCTAAGTCCAGGGTGCATGCAGGATTCCTTGGCCTTCCCCATGCTTTATAGACATGCAGCCTCTGGTCAGAGCCGGACTGTTGGGAAAATGTGGCTGCAGTAAGTTACAGGGATCTACTGGCCTAGGATTCCAACAGTGTTGACCGTCCCTTCATGCCACCAGGATGCTGTCACGGCAGAAGAAGTTCCTGGGTCAGTTCACACAGCACCAGCAGGGCCGCCTGAATTCTCAAAAGCAGAAGGCACAAGAGCTCGACCAGCTCGAAGCCCAGCTTGAGACCCAGCTGCAGGTAGTTTGGGAGATGTGTCACTAGAGGCAGTGGCGTAGTATACAAGGAAGAGGCCACACCCTGGCTTACAGCCAGCTGCCCAGGCCACTGTAAAAAAAATCCTGTGTCCCACTCCAGACCATCACCTCTGAACCTCTCTCTGTCCGTGGCATCTTTGGCTCTCTGAGTTCCATTGGCCAACAGAGTATGTCTTCCTGAAAGGAGCATGAGCCCATGGGGACAGTGGTTCCCACATGGCTCTGGTGTCTTCAGGGCACAGCTGAGCATCTGCCCATGACTTTGGAAGTGTAAAGGAATGTGTGCAGACCACCACCAGCAGGGCTGCAAGGTGCTGGAGCTGCCATCTCTACCTCTTGGACAGTGCTGACAGTAGCTAAGGCTCACACTGCAGGTAGAGCACTCAGCGAGGCGAGGCTCTCAGGGTTTAAGTGGACAGTTAAGCACACACACAGAAAAGTCCCAGCCTGGAGGATTGTGAGGTGTGACTGTTCCCCAAAGTATCTGCCTTAAAAATATCAGGGGATGGCAGGATCCTTTTGTTTGTTTGTTTGTATGTGTAGGTTTTTTTTTTTTGTTTGGTTGGTTTTTTGAGGTTTTTTTGTTGTTGTTTTTCGAGACAGGGTTTCTCTGTATTGCTTTGGAGTCCTGGAACTTGCTCTATAGACCAGGCTGGCCTCCAACTCCAGAGATCCACCGCCTCTGCCTCCTGAGTGCTGGGATTAAAGGAGTGCACCACCAACACCCGGCTTAAAGCCTACTTTTTCTTTTCTTTTTTCTTTTTCTTTTCTCATTTTTTTGGGGGGGTGTTCTTAGAGACAGGGTTTTTCTGTGGCTTTGGAGGCTGCCCTGGAACTAGCTCTTGTAGACCATGCAGTCTCAAACTCACAGAGATCTGGCTGCCTCTACCTCCCAAGTGCTGGGATTAAAGGTGTGCGCCACCAAAACCCGGTGGCATGATACCTTAAAACAAAATCGAAGCATTACTGGATGCTCAGCAGGTAAGAAGAACTTGCTGCTCAAGCCGGGACCTGCACTGCATCCCCAGAACACATGGTGAAGGGAGAGAGCTGACTTCTAGAAGCTGTCCTGTGAACAAACACACACACACATACACACACACACACACACACACACTCTACTACTACTACTACTATTACAGATAAATAAATAAAATTTAAAAGAAAATTCAGAATTTCAGAATGAAGGCATATGACAGCAATTTGGCCTTTTCCGTGTCCATCAAGCCAGGGGTGGCAGTAATGACAGCAATTATAAGAACCCTGTTAATGATGAGCTTTTGTTCCCAGGGGTCCATAGCAGGTGGTAGTTGGTTTGCAAGCTCTCAACACCCTCTCAGAGCAACCGAGGTGGTGGCTGCTATGATCCTTACTACAGATAGGGAAACTTAGGATAGGAAATCATAGCTTCTCAGTCCCCTGGCAGCTGTACACTGGAGTGGAGCCAAGCCAGTGCTTAGCAATGACTGAGCCTCCAAACTGCCCTTGTTTGTGGACAGGGCTATGAGACAGGAGAGAGGACCAGGTGTCTAGAGGAGCACCCTTCTCCATGCCTCTGTCCTGGTTCTGACCTCTTGGGGTACTGCCTGGAAAGTCATCTTCCACACTGGGATGTGGGTTGGAGTCACCAGCCATCCTGCACAGTGTAAGGCTTGAACTCTGTGGTGGGGAACTCAGAGGCGAGGGGCAGAGAGGCATGCCGACCCTCTTCCATTTGTCTATCAGGAAGCTGAGCAGACCTTTATCTCAGAGCTGGCAGCATTGGCCCGGGTGCCCCTTACTGAAAACAAGCCATTCTCCAACAAGCGAGGACTTCCAGGTAAGTTTCTGCACCGTGGTACTGAGGCAGGGGGGCTCTGAACTTAGAAGAGTGGATACTGATCCACTCTTGTGGAGCCTTGGGTGTCCCGCACAGCTTCTCTGAACTTTCCTACTTCCTGTAACTGAGCAGACTCAGAACATCACAGGGACCTTGGCTCTCTGGCATCCCACCATGCCAGTTCCTGGCTCCAGTACGTCCTGACCTCATCTTACTCTCATCTCTTCTTCCCCTTCTGTAAAATGAGGAAATGACACCTCTTCCCCTTCAGAGATACGTTAGGAACATCATAAACCAATGTCATCTGGTGCGGGAAGTCATTCACAGGTATTGCACACACGAGCTCTGGCCAGTGTCTGCACTCTGCCCTCTGCCTCTCCTGTTTCCTGTATCCTGCATGCTGTGGGCAAAGCAGAAACAAAGCCTGGTGCTCCCAGTTCCATCCCAGCTCTAGAGGCTGTGGGGCGTGGGAAACACTTCACTCATGGTGTTCAACCTGCTTAGCGGTGATGTGGCTAAGGTTGATTATAAACCATGGAGGCAGGAAGCGCCATTTAAAATCACAGCGTTATCCTGGGCCTGTCTGTCTTCTACAGAGAAGCCAGTAAGAACCAAAAGAAAGAAGCCCCCACATCGGGAGAGAGAGGACCTAGGGCTGCCCAACAATGATCACCCTGCCTTGATGGACCACGCCACAGGACCACTCAGGTGTGAAGGGTCCCAGCCCACTGCCTTCCTCCTGTCTTTCTATCAAGGTTCTGAAGTCTGGGAGTGACCCTTCTCATGGTGCTCACATGAGGCCCAGGAAATGCTGGGAATATAATTTGAGAATAGTGGACAGGGAGGGACCATAACAGGGGTTGCCTGCATTGCTGGGAACTGTTGCATGTGGATCAGCTCTGGGCTACTAGGTCAACTGAGCCAGTGTCATCTTCTCCTTGGTGCTGGGTGTCCTCCACCTGGTGTTTACATATCACTCCTTCTAGCTGGGTGGTCCTGAATCCATAGTGCAGCATTCATCACCTGCCATCCATGTCCACAGCAGCAGAAGGCTGGGTCAGCAGGACAGCGAAGCTGGAGATGGAGAGAACTCAAGGAATATGCTGCAGACAAGAAGCCATCTATAGCTGGAGCCCTGCTGAGATGGACCTGATGTGTACCCCACTGCATCCATGGCGGCAGCTGTGGGGCGCGGGGGCAGAAGCAGGAGGCCAGTCTTGAGAGAGGGGACGCCACCTGCCTTAGAAAGTGAAAATGACATGAAGTAGCACCAAGCACCTGGGATGACTGGAGCTGGTGGAGACATGCCTTGGAGAACCTCGGCTTCTGCCCTGGTACACTTTTCCTGATTGCTTCCTCCCTCAGGGGGCCCTTACCCTTGGCCTCCAGCCTCACAGTGTCCCAGCACTACCCAGTAGCCCCTGATTCCCAGCATCTCCATGAAGTCCTGCCTGTCAGGGTCTCACCATCACTGGTGTTTTCTGATCCTGAAGCCACTGTCTCGCCTCCGTTGCTCCACAGTCATCTCCTGTCCCTGGCAGTGGCTGCCAGTGTCCCAGCCAGGACCAACTTTTGGCCTTGGTATTTCTCTTTGGGCTCAGGTGGCCCTGGTACCTGGCCACTCAAGGATGTCTGAGTTTCAGAGCCACTGTCCTTGGTACAGCCATGGAGTTCTAAACCCACAGGCCTGTTCTGAACCACTTGGACCTTGAGGATCACATGTTCCTGTCATGTGACACAAGATCTCCTCCCTGGGCGTGGAGGGCAAGAAGGAGGCTCTCCCTACCCTCAGGCTTCACTTAGGAGGGAAACCTTACTCTTTCAGACCCGTGGAGACCCAGGCTTTCCTGTGCATTGTAGGACAATGGGCAGCAACCCTGGGCTCTATCCATTAGTGTCAACTGGACACATCTATTCATCTCTGGTGTTTCTCAGCAACAGGTCAATGTGTGCCTCCCTGGGGCAAGCCCAGCACTGCAAAGCCCCATTTTACCATCAATTTCTAGAACATACTGGCTTTTGTGATTCAGTAGTCCCTCTCAGGAATCTTCTGGACTTTCTGGGAATTTTAGGTTCTTTTTTTCATAGAAAAGCAATTTATTCCTATAAGCACTTACACAGTTAGTCATGGAGAGTAACAGGCCTGATGGTGAGACAGGTCAACCAAACTGGAGATGGCATCAAACTACAGTGGTCAAGGGCTAACTCCTAAAAAAGCAACTCTTATCAAGGATTAATTCCATTTTAAAAACAAATCAAACTAGCAATACACTCTTCTCAACTTGACAGTTCACCAGTGGTATTACTGTCAGTTAAAAACATACATCTTACAACTTGGTGGTTCCAAGTTCAAAAAACAAAACAGAAACAAAAAACCACACAACAAAACCATTTCACAGAAAGGAAAAGAATAATACGGAAATAGCTCAAGAAATATACTAATCAGCAAAAATATGAGGGCAAGGAAGAACGTGTGGTCTTAACTAAAGAAACCAAGAGTCTGGTTTACACAGGAAAATGTGCATCCTGGAAAGCCAGATGAGAGGACCTTAAAATCTCCCCTAATTCCTGAATAAAAATGACTCTTGCAATATGTATACTCATGGCTCAGACACCTACTTCACTTGTCTCTAATTCCTTATCCATTCTGGCCTCTTACTTGGGAATCTGAAAAACTTGGGGATATAGCTTAAGAAGAAAATTAATCAACACATAATGCGCCCCATTTCTGAAGCTACTTTAGACATGGCTAGGTTTGTTACTAGAAAATTACTGAAGAAAATTTATAAGTCTGTGGCTTTGTTGAATTAAGTCCCCCAGTTAAGATTTAGAAAACACCCATGGTTTGGGCTATTAGTACTGTTGGTAGCACCTATTGTAGCCATATAGCTGAACAAAGTCTGTGTCTCAAACCAGTGTTAAATCCACCTCCGGGTTCAGAAGAAAACAAGGAGAGTCTAAATCACAAGTGCAGACATGTCTAGGATCCTTGTCCTTCTGGATCTACACTTCCTTCAGGGGCTTCATCATTATAAATGTGCTCTGCCATCTGCCACACTTGCATGATACTGTCTTCTGATACAGAGCAAATCACCCAAGATTCATTGGGATTCCAGGAGAAATCAGATATCTTGGCAGTGTGACCACCATGAATAAACAACAACTCTGGTGGGCCATCTTCTGCATCTTCTGGGGACTGTTCTTCTCCAGTTTTACTTAAATCCCAGACATTCAGTCTATGATCAGTACCACTAGAAGCCAAAATAGTCTCATTGTGAGGTGACCACTGAACTTGGAATATTTCATCCTTGTGTGACTCAAAGGAATGCAACTTGAGTTTCGGGGTTCTCAGATCCCACAAGGCAACAGTCTTGTCAGCTGACCCTGTGGCAAGAATGAACTCGCTGTAAGGATTGGAAGACAGGCAGTTCACTTCAGCAGAGTGAGCATTGACTGAGTGGCTTCGCTTGGAAGCATTGTTTGAACAAGTATCCCAAATAATAAGTTTCTGATCGTCAGCAACAGACCCAAACAGAGACTGGTGGAGCACATGGAAGGAAATGTCCCCCACTACTGCTGTATGCTGTGTAAAGATGGTCTTTGCATCCACCACTTTCCCTTCTTTTGGAACTTCACTGATGTCCCCATAGACAGATGGTATAGTTATCTGAAGCACTAAGTAAGTGCCCACTGAGGTTTGGATTCCAACAAAGGTCGTAACCTTCCTTCTGATGTCCATGGAGATGCAAATCTGGGTTGCACTCTCCAGAAGGGTCTGGCTTAGAAGGATGCTTTGTGTAGTCAAAAACAAGCACATCACTGGATGGAGTCTTGGTTGCAATGATGCAAGGGTATGTATTGAGCCCTGTTTACTTCTCCTTCATGGTTGATCTTGATTTCTATTTCAATTGTCCCACTGACAGCGCCAAAACCTCCAAATTCTCCTTTTTCACTGTCATAGTGTGATGCATTAAAGTGAGCATCATCGTTAGGAAGCTGGACACTGGCTCTCACCAGGTGGTTTTGTTCATCTGATATATGTGTTCCCAGGACAAGCTGGTGAATGCCGAAATATTTTCCTTCAGGCCTGGTTACATCTGGAAGCCACTGGGCAGTTAAACTGGGCCACTCCAGGCCATGGGTCATCACCAAATTGTAAAGAAAAGGGGTATTCTTCTTCCATATTTTGTACTTCTCATTGATCACACGTTCTTCCACCGAGTCGTCAAAGGCAATTTCCTTGTCAGCCATGGTGGCAGGCGAGCCGGGAGGGGTTGGGGGGAATTTTAGGTTCTTAAAGTATAGACTAGAACCAGCTAGTTAGAAGTGTGGAGCTCATGGAAAGCAGCCATGCCCTCTGCATGCGCATGCAAGTTTGTGTGTGTGCGCGCGTGTGCGCGCGCGCTCGCACTCATTTGGAAGCCAGAGGACAACATGCAAAATGGTTCCTGTCATTCTATCCACTTTGGGGGCAGGGCAGGCCTGGAACTCACAGTTAGGAGAGACTACCTGGCCAGCAGATCCCCATGCTTAGAACCCAAGCACTGAGACACATACCCTGTAACCATGAGCTTCAACTAGATCAACCACGGCTCCCAACCTGCCCAGAATGGGGTTTTCAGCATGAGTTCACAGTGCCCTCTGGTGACTCTAATGAGGCATGTCACCTGAGGAATGGGGAAAAGCTCTGGTTTCCTTTGTTCAGAATTCTAGAACACTGCTTGCACAGGAACCACTATTATCACCTAAGTCCTCTGGTTTGATGGGGTGACTGTGGCAAATACAAACAAATCATGTCCCTCGTCTCCTCCAGCACCAAGACTGACCAGGGATCCAGAGTTTCGTAGGGTTCCTATTGTGAGCTAAAACATCTTGACCCAAAGCAGCCTGGGGAAGAAAGGGCGGAAACTCGAGGCGGGAACCTGGATACTGAAGCAGAGGCCTTGCAGGAATGCTTACTGGCTTTTTGCTTACCGGTTTGCTCCTCATGGCTTGCTCTGCCCACTTTGTATAACATTCAGGACCAGGGGTGGCCCCACCTACCCTAAGCTGGGCCTTCCACATCAACCACCAAGAAAATGCGCTACAGATTTACCTACAGTGCAGTCTTCTGGAGGCATTTCTTAACTAAGGTCCCCTCTTCTCGGATGACTCCAGCTGGTGTCCAGATTGGAAGAACAAACAAACACATCTAGCCAGCACAACTGACCACTTGTCATCTTGGCACACAAACACACCACTACTCAACTGCAACCTTTCCTGTCTTGTTTGTACACAAGACGGCATGCTAATATTAGTATCACAATATAAAACAGCCTATCTGCTTTTCAAAAGTCCCACCAACCCAAAAAATTCACTTGAAAGGTTTAGTCTCTTTAAAATAAAGTCATGCTGAGGAGAGGAAGGAGGGATTTTAGGAGCTAGGGGTAAAAGGGACATCACAGGAAAATCCACAGAAATGGTTAGCCTGGCTCTTGGTAACTCACAGCGTCTGAGCCAACAACCAGGGAGTCTGCATGGGAATAGGCCAACCGAGGTCCTCTGCATATACGTGACAGTTGAGTAGCCTTGTCTATTTGTGGCAGTCCTGCCAATGGGAACAGGAGCTGTCCCTGGTGCTTTGAGTGGCTCTATTGCTCATGCTGGGTTGCCTTGCCCCGCCTGAATGCAGGGGGAGGTGTTTGGTCTTATGGCAGCTTGATATGCCATGTTTTGCTGATGCCCAGGGGAGGTCTGTCCCTTTCTGAGTGAATACTGAAAAGGGGTGGGTTGAGGGCAGCTGGGTGAGGGGAGGGGAAGGGGTGGGGGTAGAGGAGGGAGGGGAGACTGTGGTCAGGATATATAATTAATTAATTAATTAATTAAAATATCCAAAGTCTCTTTAGAATCTCCAAAGTCTCTAAAACTCCAACATTTCTTAACTATGGACTCCTGAGAAAGAAAGAAAGAAAGAAAGAAAGAAAGAAAGAAAGAAAGAAAGAAAGGCTAAAAAAAAAAAACCAAATTAAATACTTCCTTACTCCAAGAGGGAAGAGCCAGAGCATAGTCACAATCAGAACAAAACAACCAAAGCTCAATAACGTAAACAGTTCAGCACCAGATGTCTGGAACCCACTCACAATCCCATGGACTCCAAAGAGCCTGGACAGCGCCACTTTGCTGGCTCTGCCAAGCATAGCACACATCCTGGTCTCCTAGACTCACGCAGACTTCACTCCACGCGCTACTGTCCTTGGTGGTTACCCCATGGTACTTGCATCTCCAAACCGGCAGAGTCTCCTCTGTGTCTGGGCTGCACCTTCACCAATAGCCTTTCTAACCTGGCCACCTGCTGCCAAGCCTCAGCTCCTCTCTATGACCCCTTCATGCCTTTAAAACCAGAAGCTCTCCTGTATTCTGGAGTCCGTGCAGGGGAAGGCAGCTCAGAGGGGAGTCAGGGACACTAAGGCTGGCCTAAGAGATACCTGCCCATGTGACTTCACTCGCAGGTCATGATAGGAGACCACAGCTCCTCAGGAGGCAGGGGGTGGTCAGATTCCAGCTCTCTATGGAGCTCATACACAGCCCCAAATACAGAAGTGTGGTGGGAACAGAACCTCCTTCCCAGTGTGGGTCTTGTGCCCCTGTAAGATGACCCTTATACAGTCAGGCACTAGCTGGGACCCAAGGTCCCCAACAGACCTTGAACTCTGGCTGACAGATTTTGAATTCAGCAGCTGGGCTTGAATAAAAGGCTGCTTGGGTGCCCAGGAGAACCCCAAGTAGTCCCTGGGCTCTCACGGAGTACTGCAATGCTTCTCCCTCATTGGAGCAGCCACTTGAATAAGGTTCTTTTCCCGGAAGTCAAGTTGGCCTGGTCCCATGTTCTTTCCTACAAGGCCACTGTGGAAATGTAGAGGAGGACTGCCACCTCAGTTTGCAAAGGTGTCCTTCACCTGGGGATCCTCTTGTTCTTCAACCACACGCTGACTTGGTTGGAGAGAAGTGTGGCTCCTTACAGAAATGCACAGCACTCTCCCAGCCCTCTGCTCTGGAGAGCAACATGGAGAGTCCCTGAGCACTTTTGTCCTCAGTGGCCCAGTTCCTATGCAGACCCGGCTGTGAGCTGAGCTGCGTCAATGCACAGCCCAGAAGCCCACCTATGGATCCAGGGTGCTGTAATTTAAGAAAAGCAGCTCAAGAGAGAAAGACACCATGCAACAGAGTTCAAGCAGGGAAATTTATTTTTTTATTAGGAGGAAAGGATTGTAAAAAGGGGAAAGGGGGGGGAGATTGGCCTCCAGAGACAAGAGCAGCAGGAAAAAGGAAGGAGGGGCAGAGAGAGACAGACAGAAACAGAGAGACAGAGAGAGACAGAGAGAGAGAGGAGAGAGACAGAGACAGAGAGAGGAGAGAGATAGACAGAGAGAGAGACAGAGAGAGAGGAGAAAGAGAGAGAGACAGAGAGAGAGACAGAGAGAGAGGAGAGAGAGAGAGAGAGAGAGAAGGGCAGGGCCCTTTCAAAAGGGAACATAGTGCATATGCACAGGTGGTGCTCTTAGTAGCTGCAGCTGAGAGCTTACCCAGTCAGAACCCAACGACAGGCCGGTACAGATGCCTGAATGCTAACACAGGGTCTCCACCCATCTCTCCCAAGGAATGTACCAACTGCTCCCTCCCATCTCTCATCCTCAGTTCCCCAGTACCTGATCATCACAGAGTCAGATGAGTTCGAGGCATTTGAGCCACCCAATTGAAAACACCCACTCGGGTCAACGGGCAATTTAATTTCTTTATTTTTCTCACAAGCTTTGAATTCAGAAATAAGAGCCACCAACAAGTCAGTTATTAAGTAAAAATGTGAGTGAATACAAAGGAAAACTGTACAAAACTTTAAAAATCTGACTGCCCCGCTGACCTCCTCTGAGGAACAGGGACTCGAGCAGCCTGGGCATAGCTGGTACCCCACCGTCCTCAGGCCTGAGGGGGGTGTCAGGACACCCCCTTTCTGGGTGTGATCCTGGCTGGGCCCAAAGCCCAAGACTGGCTGGAAGAACACACAGACCAGAAAGACACCATGACCGGGTTGTTGACACAGGACGTGGATGATGGAGCTCTATGACCAGGTGGAAGGCTTCCCTGCCATTCTGCATATTCACAGGTCTCAGTCAGGGTGAGGGTGGGGACAACATCTTTCTAGTGAAGACTCTCAGGGCAGAGCCTTCATTTTTTAAGAGTTTGGGAGTCCCCCCTTGGGGCAAAGGTCTTGGCATCGTGTCTATGTTGGTCCTCGGCGATGTCCATCAGCCGCGCTCAGACTTGCATACGTAACCTACTAACATGCATCCTATCCTAGAACAGCTACAGGGCGCAAAGGAACCATCACTCAGAGGGTCGTGGAGGAGTGGAGGGGATGGTATAGGACGATGCTACACCTGGGGATCACTAGGAAGGGAAGATGGAGACACCATGCTCTGAGGTGGAGTCTGTGTGAACACACTGGGCAAGGAACGTCCAAGCAAGCACACCACACTAGTACCACTTCTTCCTAAGCAGAGAAGGAAAGAACATCACTCAATCTCCCCTCCATCAGTACCAACTAAAACTGTGGGCTTCAAAAACACAGACAGGAAAAGGAATGGACATTTTCCCAGAATCCTTCACTCTTGCGTATCTGGCTCATCTGAGGTCAACCGAGGCTGGTGATATTGGAACGGCCACCAGGGGGTGCCACAATACGGTGGCCTGTACGCCTTGGATTGTTGTCATCTATCTGGGCACCTGAAAGAGACAGAAGGCCAAGGGTGTGTGGGAGAAGACCCGTTTACATACCTTTGTGGGTATTGCAGTCCATCTTAAAATACTTATCACTCCAACCCACCTTCAAGACCCTCTCCAAGTTCACTCAGGGAAGCCTCCCTGACCTGTAGATATGCCTGAACTCTACTGGGTACCTGCCAGTCCTGGGACTTCCCCTCCTAGGTCTCTGGCCTCTGCAGAGTTTGGTCTCACTTAGTGAGTCTCTACTGTGTGCAGGCAGACTTGGAGCACTGCTTGTGCTGAGAACACACATTAGCTCAAGAAGGTAGGACTCATGCCCACACTGGCTTGTCCCCAAAGCCCACTCTCCTTTGCACAGTGTTCCTTGCTTCAGGGACCTGTGCCTGCATGCAGACTAACTGACTTCCCTTCTGACCCTGACTTTACAGGACCTGTCTAGGTGAGAGCCTGCCTTAGAGTACGATCTGGCTCTCCTAGCCGACTCATTGGCA